TAGGGTTCAAATATGGTAACACCTACGAGGGCGATTAGAGGTCGCCCCAAAAGCCTCTATCCCTCTTGGAAATACTGGCAAGCTACCGAGAGTATTCCGCCCACACGGCAGAGCTGGGCAAGCTATCCATTGTGTATTCGATATGCCAAAACCAGTAATTACAATGGGTCTCATTCACCTGACCCTGAAGGCTTCACCAACATGGCAGAACTGAGAAGGATGAGAAAGGAGAGGCCGATAAAATCTCAAGGCCGAACTAGGCTGTCACCACGAAGGAAGACAAAAATGATTGTCTGTACTTTCAATGCACGTATGCTAGCATCAGATGCATCCATCGAGGACCTGATGGTACAAGCGCGAAAGATCAAGTACGACATCATTGGTCTGACCGAGACAAGAAGGCATCAATCTCATCATGCCGTTTTCGACACTGGAGAAGAATTGTTCCTCGGAACAAGTGATAAAAGAGGTGTCGGAGGCGTCGGTGTCCTTGTCAACACAAATTTAGCCATGAGCATTGATTCATTCGAATGCCTAACAACCCAAATCAGACGTTTATATTTGAATAGATGTGGCTCACTGCCGGCAGTTTCTATCTTTGTTGTCTACGCACCAACATCTCATTATGATGAAAGAGAAATCGAGAAGTTCTACATGGAGCTGGAGAAGTTCTATAAAGAAGACCACACCTTCTACAAGATCATTGTGGGTGATTTTAATGCCAAGATAGGACCGAGAAGATCAGCTGAAGAACTTCACATCGGGACCCATGGCCTAGAATGGAAGGAACAGGGTGAGAGACTGTCTGAGTTCATCATGTCGACCAAGACCATCCATGGTAACTCACAGTTCCAGAAGGCTGAATCTAAACGTTGGACATGGGAGTCTCCCGGTGGACGATTCCACAAAGACCATATCATATTCAATTGACGGTTTTGCCTGACCGATGTTGCTGTTGTCCCAAAATTCCAAACAGGATCGGACCACCGTCTCCTTCGTGCAAAATTCTACTTCACAGAACGGGGAGAAAGGGCTGCAAAGTTTAAGAAGAGAACTCCCAGAACGACCACCAAATGGGAGCTCTTTGGCACTATTGCTACAACATGGGAAGATGCCATTGTTGACAACATTGATGAGGAATACAATAGACTGGTTCAGCACCTCCATGATTGTGCGAGGAACGCCAAGAGAGAGATAGCCACAAAAAAACGCCTGTCTTCGAAAACTCTTGAGCTTATTTGCCAACGTGGTTTGGCGCATGCCTCAGGCAACTGCAAGCTAACGTCCGAGCTCGCAAAGACTCATGAAGTAAGCAATGAAAAGTTTATAAATCTGTAATTTTGAATGCACAGAAAATATTTTAAAATTAACAATCTAGAATTGAAACTCCAAATTATCTCAAGGAGTGTTTAAAAAAAGGACAAAAGTAAAAATATAATAGTTTTAATCTTATTTATTTATTTATTTATTTTTGCTTTTTGGGTCACACCCTGCAATGCAAGGGGTTCCTCCTGGCTCTGTGCTCAGGAATTACCCCTGGCGGTGCTCAGGGGACCATATGGGATGCTGGGAATAGAACCCGGGTTGTCCGCGTGCAAGGCAAATGCCCTACCCGCTGTGCTATTGCTCCAGCCCCGATAGTTTTTATCTTAGATGGAAAAACTGTTTAATGTTCATTTACGACAGTCATTAATAGAAAAGTATAAATTTACATAAGCAAAATAAAATTTTAAGGGAAGAGACAGAAATAAAAATAATAAATATTTGAAAAAGAGTCAAAAAAGGCAAAAGAAAAAATAATAGGAAAACAAAGAGTAAATAGTCATGTTAACTCAAAACAGTACTGGTAGGGTACAGTGGTTAGAGCACTTGCCTTCCTTGCAGCCACCCCAAGTTCAATCCTTTTCAAACATAAGGTTCCCCCAAGCACTGCCAGGAGTAAGTCCTGAGCATTGCTGGATGTACTCCCTTCCAAAACAAAACAAAACAAAACAAAACAGAACAGTACTTATTACACATACCAACAATTAAAATAAGTGCAATTTTTTGGACTCAAAATTAGTCTGTGCCTTACTTATATAAAAAAGGAATAAAAAATAAAAAAATCACACACTCGGAAATACATGATATGAATTCACTGAAAAATATCAGTTAAAGAAAGCAGAGCTTTCTTTCCTCTCTACAGCTAGAGAGGAAAGTTCTGGAAATAAGTCTTTAAAACAAACAAAAAAACAACTCTTAAAGGCTGGAGAGATAGCACAAGGTTTAAGGCCATGTCTTAACATGGATGATCAGGTTCAATCCCTGGCACCACACAGTCTTCCGAAATCACTGAGTGCAGCCCTGAAGGTCATTCCCTCCTACCAAGAACCTACCTACCGAGAAGCTCCTGAGCATAAATGGGGTGAACCCAGGTAATCCCTGGCACTGAAGGGCCATCACAGCAGCACAACCTTGAGCCTTAGCAATGAATTGCTGTTATAGTCATACTGGGAAGTGGTGAGAGGCCTACTGCTTGTGAGGCACCTTTTGGCCTCAATTAATTATTTTTAAAAAAAATCTTAAATCAAAGAACAGATATTGAAGTATATAAAAAAAGTAAAACTAAGAAGATCAAGATCCACTTGAAGAAACTATCACTGTCACTGACCTCCCGTTGTTCATCGATTTGCTCGAGGGGGAACAGATGTGAAATTTATAAATGTTAACAGGGATATGAGAGGGATATGAAAGTTATAATTATTAGTTATTATCATCTATTACAAGTATATACATTTTAGGTTAATAAAAATAAGCATATACACTTTCATGGCTTGACCATACTTGACTGAATGTACAATGGTGGCTGACAATGAGAAATTAAATTTTAATGTGTATAAAAATTATGAAGCTATCAATTTTATATTTGACAGCCCTTATAAAAAAATTAGGATCCAGTTTAAGGCAATGCTAATGGAAGAACTAAGAATTCAAGTAACAGTTACCCAAAAGAATGTTTTGGAAGAAATTTCTTGTCTTATCTGAATTCAGCATTGGAAAATAAATTGACTGAGATTCAGTTTTGGTATTACGATATAGGAATATGGCTCTGGACAAGTAACAAATTATTTGGGCATAATTTCATTTGCATAATAAAATAATTGGGCTTTACACAGGTAGAGGGGTGGGTGTTAGAACTATATGACTGAAACCTAATCATGAACAGCTTTGTAAGGGTCTATCTCACAGTGATTAATAAAAAAATTCTAAAAAGTAATTGGGCTACATTATCTTTAACTTCACTGTGATCTCTAAGGATATATGAATTTTTAGAAATGCAATCATAAAAATAAACATTAACTTCTGTTTCTCCAGTTTTAGATTTGCCTGATGAGTTATTCCCTCACTTCAAGGTATTTGGGAAAAAAAATTCAATGGTATGTCCAGGAGTATTCCAAAGAAAGAATGAACTCTACATAAAGAGGAAAAGAAATTATTTGCCTAACTGGTTTGATTGAGCTACAACACAAAAATCATTTTCAGGTTAGTGATGTGACTCATGCTATAGCATATGCTTTGCATGTTGGAGGCCATGAATTAAATCCCCAGCACAGTGTGGGAAGAGGAGGGGAAGTAATTTTACTAAAACGATCAAATGATCTAAATTAAATTAAAAAATTAAGCACTAAGAAATAAGTACTCAGATAACTAAGCATTTGATATAGAGGAAAAGAATATCGCATTTATGGTGGAAAACTGGGTTAAAAATCACTACCAATTGCTGTACAACCTTACTTTACTCTTTCAGTGACTAATTTTCTTTACAAATTTCCCAGTCCGGAAAGATATTCACATTACTGTCATATATGCATCCCTTCACTCACGTTTTTGCTTTTACTGCCTATCTTATCTAGAATGTCACTATTATTCAATATGCAATTATTGAAATGTTCTCATATTGCCCATTTTTTTTTTGCAATTTTCTTTTTTTTTTTATTATTATTAGTGAAACACCATGAGGTACAGTTGTAGATTTACAAATTTTTGTGCTTAGATCTCGGTCATACCATGATCAAATACCCATCCCTCCACCAGTGCCCATTTTCCACCACCAGGATAATATCCCTCCCCCCCATCCCCCCATCCCCCCCACCCCCCCTGCCACTGTGGCAGGGCATTCCCTTTTGTTCTCTCTCTCCTTTTGGGTGTTGTGATCAGCAAAAGAGGCATTGAGTGGCAAACATGTTCAGTCCAGTCTACTTTCAACCTGCATCTCCCCTCCTGGGAGGATCCTCCAAGCACCCTCCATTTGGTGTTCCCTTTTCTATCTGAACTGTCCCTTCCCCTAGAATACCCGGCTGGCCTCTAAGCTATGGAGTAATCCTCCTGGTGTTGATCTCAGCTATTCTTGGGTATTAATCTCATATTTTGTTATTTTATATCCCCCAGATGAATGCAATCTTTCTATGTCTATGCCTCTCTTTCTGACTCATTTCGCTTAGCATGATACTTTCCATATTGTACCACTTGTATGTAAATTTCATGACTTCATCTTTTCTAAGAGCTACATAGTACTCCATTGTGTAGATGTACCAAAGTTTCTTTAACCAGTCATCTGTTCTTGGGCACTCAGGTCTCTTCCAGTTTCTGGCTACTGTAAAGAGTGCTGCAATGAACAAACAAGTGCAGATGTCACTTCATTGCCCATTATTTTTATTTGCACGGTTCCTGTTCAAGCTAACTTGAAAATTCCCGATGGTGAGCATGTCTTCTCTCAATCACTTTGCTTCAACAGAAAACATTCTCAATAAATATTTTTTAAAAATTACAAAGAAATCAATTTTAACTAAAGTCTAAAAGTTCTTGGAAATTAATTTCACACTTACATTCTGAATCTTTTAACATAAATATATCCAATTTCATAATACAGAAATTTAAAATGCTTAAAATTTTAATAAAATTTTGTAAATATGAACTATGAATAAGTAGTCAGTACTTTGAGATATTTAAGTTATCTTTACCAATTTACTTTCATTTCTCTTGTTTTAATTCTTCCTTCCATTGGATATCTAGAATAAAAACACAAGGCAAAACTTTATTATTATTTAAATTAAATTAAAGCTTTGAAAATTACTTAAAATGTTTAGTTTTGGTACCTGATAGTTATCCTATTTGGATCTTTGTTCAAAGTATTCAGCATTTTCTTTTCATTTATTCTTAATTTTACATCTAGAAATTCCTTACAACTGGATATCATTGTGACCTAAAAAATTTTGGTATTTATTCATTTCATTATGTTCATTATTGTTTTTTATTATTTTAACTTTCAAAATTTATTTATTCATTTCATTATATTCATTATTGTTTTTTATTCTTTTAACTTTCAAAATTTATCATAAATTATTTTTTAAAAATTCTTAGTTGATGAAGAACTGGTGTAAGATTAAGAAATATGTGAACTTTGCCATTTTTATCACTATTAAGCAATGTAAGATGTTTATCTTCAATCTTAGATTTTTTTCAGGCATCTCTTTTGTTTTATTTTTAATCTTTATTGAGGTACTATGATTAAAATACTGTTAATGTAGTTTCATACATATACAATTTTAACACCATACTCACCAACAGGGGGTGGAGCAATAGCATAGTGGGTAGAGTGCCTTGCACATGACCCGGGTCAATTCCTCCATCCCTCTCAAGAGCCTGGCAAGCTCCCGCCCGCCCGGCAAAGCCTGGCAAGCTCCCCGTGGCGTATTCGATATGCCAAAAAACAGTAACAGGTCTCACAATGGAGATGTTACTGGTACTCGCTGGATCAAATCAATGAACAACGGGAGGATAGTGATACAGTGCTATATTAACAAACTGTTTCTTCAATTTTATTTTAAACTAAGTCATAATGTATTTACTTTCTAGTAAAAATTAACTTACCAGATCGGATAGACTTTCATTTCCACTGATAGCACAAAATCTCTTTACAGTTTCAAATGTAATATAATACCAAGCCATCAACCTTCCTGCCTCTGTGGAAAAATATGGAAAAATAAAAATTTACTCCATCAGTGAAAATACTTGCTTTTCCATCAGTTTACAAATATTCCCTTATCATCTAAATGTACCTTTATATGTGTATTTATATACACAAACATATTAGATATGTATATTTTACATATATGCATGCATTGTATATATCATATAGTACATATGTGCAAACACATATTATTCTTTATTTCTCTGGAGAACAGTTATTACATGAGATATAAAGGAAAATGGTACAAGAGTAAATATTTTTCATTGCACAGACATAAATCTCTTTTTTAAAAAATTTTTTCTTTTGCTTTTTTGGGTCACAACCGGTGATGCAGAGGAGTTACTCCTGGCTCTGCATTCAGGAATTACTCCTGGCGGTGCTCAGGGGACCATATGGGATGCTGGGAATCCAACCTGAGCCTGCCACGTGCACGCCCTAACTGCTGTGCTATCACTCCAGCCCTGCCCCAGCTAATTCTCTTTGACTGCTGCTAATAGGACTGAATCAGAGAAGCAAACTCAGGAGATACATGTGAAGAGATTATTGCAATGAAGAGACTACAATAGTTTTCTTAAAATTATTTTAATTTTGTAACTATACCTCATGGTGATCCAATAAAATAAAAATTATTTTAATAAGGTAGTCTCTTAAAAGACATATATATATATATCTAATAAGTCAATGTTTCCCTTCCCAATAAATTTCTAGTCATGAGTACTAAAAACTACAAAGCTTTCTTCCTTTCCTATTATAGTCTAAATAGGAAGGGGGAAGACAGACAGCAAAAGAGACAGGAGTTAAGGAACCATGCAGAAAAGCACTCTTTTATTAAAAATTGTTCAATAAGTAAAAACAATAATACAAGGGGCTCAACTAGTAACAAACAAATCAGTAAACTCAAGGACCTTAATAAAACCATTGTGAGATATAACAATTTCCACACATTTTCTTTTACCAAACTACTTTTTGATAATTCCACTACCATTTTGTTGTAAGAGGAAATATACAAAACAAATCATTTTGTGCTTGCCAAGGGAGCAGAGTTGGGGCTGGAGGGCTTGTGAAACTGGAGACAATGGTGATGGAACTGGTGCTGGAAAACTGTTGCCCCAAAAAACTGTATTATGAAAAGCTTTGTAAAAAGTTCCAGTTCTACCCCTACAGCACCAGTTGCACTGTGTAAAACCACTGTGTAAAACACAATGTAAAACACTGTGGTTTACAAAGGTTTTCATAATACAGTCTTTGGGGGGCAATAGTGTTCCATCACCAGTTCCACCACCAATGCGACCTCCCTTCCACCATTGTCTCCAACTGGTAAAAGGAGACCTGGAGAGATAGCTCAATGGCAACAGGCTGGGTGGGGTTCAAAAGCCAGCACTGCATATGGTCCCCTGAACACTGCCAAGAGTAGACCTAGACAACAAGCTGGAATAGGCCCTTGAGTTCTATTAAGTGTGACCTAAAAACAAATAAACAAACAAAAAGAGCTAGGAAAAGGGGATTTTCAAATGTTATAACATGTTTGAAGCAACTCCCAAATTTGTTATTTTTTTTTTAAAAATTTATTTATTTATTGAATCACCATGGGAAAGGTTACAAAGCTTTCAGGTTTAGGTCTCAGTCATGCAAATATCAAGCACATTTCCCTTTACCAAAACTTATTTTTTACCATGAAGAGCCCCAATAAAACCCCACCCCCCACCCCTCCCAGTCCCTGTGGGGCAGATGAATTCTAGTTAACACTCTATCTGCTTTGATTAGATTCATTGTTTCAATAAAAGATTCACCACTATTATTTAGAGTTTACCCCCCCCCCCCCCCCGAATCAAACATGCTGACAAAGCATTGTGAAGTGATTTGCTTTCTACAGCTGGGTTCAAGAATTATATGTTGGTTTTGGATTTCTGCTATTTTCCTTATTGACCCTGGAAGTATTTCTACTAAAAGTCAGATAGTTAAGAAATTGGTTTCTGTGCTCTGGAGTCGTGGCCGTGCTGGAGAGCCGCTAGTGGGGGGCAACTGGTGGCGTCGGTAGGGCGTGAAGGGCGGACCAAAACGCCCCCCTTCCCATGAGGTTTTAGTCGCCCCCAGTCCCCCGGCTCATACCTGCTGTCCACAAGGCTCCCATGCGGCCGACATCTTTCTTTCCAGAGAGGAGAAGGCGACTGGGGCAACACCCTTTCCCCTCCGGACAGACCTGATGGCTTGGATTAACGCATAGTCCACTCACTTTTCTGCTCCAAGCTGCTGGGTTCTGCATTAAGTCCTTGTGCTTCTGGGGCCGTGGCCGTGCTGGAGAGCCGCCCGCGGGGGGCAACTGGTGACCTCGGTAGGGCGTGAAGGACGGACCGGAACGCCCCCCTTCCCATGAGGTTTTAGTCGCCCCCACATCCCCGGCTCATACCTGCTGTCCACAAGGCTCCCATGCGGCCGCCATCTTTCTTTCCAGAGAGGAGAAGGCGACTGGGGCAACACCCTTTCCCCTCCGGACAGACCTGATGGCCTGGATTAATGCATAGTCCACTCACTTTTCTGCTCCAAGCTGCTGGGTTCTGCATTAAGTCCTTGTGCTTCTGGGGCCGTGGCCGTGCTGGAGAGCCGCCCGCGGGGGGCAACTGGTGACCTCGGTAGGGCGTGAAGGACGGACCGGAACGCCCCCCTTCCCATGAGGTTTTAGTCGCCCCCACATCCCCGGCTCATACCTGCTGTCCAAAGGCTCCCATGTGGCCGCCATCTTTCTTACCAGAGGGAGGAGGGCGGAAGGGACCAACACCCTTTCCCCTCCGGGCAGACATGATGGCCTGGATTAACGCATAGTCCTTTCACTTTTCTGCTCCAAGCTGCTGGGTTCTGCATTAAGTCCTTGTGCTTCTGGGGCTGTGGCCGTGCTGGAGAGCCGCTCGTGGGGGGCAACTGGTGACCTCGGTAGGGCGTGAAGGACGGACTGGAACGCCCCCCTTCCCATGAGGTTTTAGTCGCCCCCAGTCCCCCGGCTCATACCTGCTGTCCACAAGGCTCCCATGCGGCCGCCATCTTTCTTTCCAGAGAGGAGAAGGTGACTGGGGCAACACCCTTTCCCCTCCGGACAGACCTGATGGCCTGGATTAACGCATAGTCTGTTCACTTTTCTGCTCCAAGCTGTCGGGTTCTGCATTAAGTCCTTGTGCTTCTGGGGCCATGGCCGTGCTGGAGAGCCGCTCGCGGGGGGCAACTGGTGACCTCGGTAGGGCGTGAAGGACGGACCGGAACGCCCCCCTTCCCATGAGGTTTTAGTCGCCCCCAGTCCCCCGGCTCATACCTGCTGTCCACAAGGCTCCCATGCGGCCGCCATCCTTCTTTCCAGAGAAGAGAGGGCGAATGGGGCAACACCCTTTCCCCTCCGGACAGACCTGATGGCCTGGATTAACGCATAGTCCATTCACTTTTCTGCTCCAAGCTGCCGGGTTCTGCATTAAGTCCTTGTGCTTCTGGGGCTGTGGCCGTGCTGGAGAGCCGCTCGCGGGGGGCAACTGGTGACCTCGTTAGGGCGTGAAGGATGGACCAGAACGCCCCCTTTCCCATGAGGTTTTAGTCGCCCCCACACCCTCGGCTCATACCTGCTGTCCACAAGGCTCCCATGTGGCCGCCATCTTTCTTTCCAGAGAGGAGAGGGCGAATGGGGCAACACCCTTTCCCCTCCGGACAGTCATGATGGCCTGGATTAACGCATAGCCCGTTCACTTTTCTGCTCCAAGCTGCTGGGTTATGCATTAAGTCCTTGTGCTTCTGGGGCCGTGGCCGTGCTCCAAACTTAACTATGATTTTCAGAGAGAAACGTTGGGTCATTTACTTCCCATGGATCACTTTGCATATAGAGAGATGTCGCGCGGCCGCGTGAGCGGCCGCGCGGTTTTGATGAAAAGTCCTAGTTCCCGCATACTCGAGCTGTGGTTGTAGAGGCTTCTGGTCACCAGGGTTCCATCTGGGGGAGGCGGGATGCGGTACCTACCCCATCTGGGGCTTCCCGATGATGTCGGCTCTTTTTGGAACCTGTTTTTTTTTTTTTCTTTTTCTTCGGGATCTGTGGATCCCGCCCTCCATGTTGTTCTTCTCTTCAGCTGAATGCTGTAAATATGGCGCTGGGGGGCGGGCTGTGGGCGTGACTTCCGGAATCTGAGGTTACCTGGGAGTTGCAGTCCCGGCACATTTGAGGAAAAGTCCAAGTTCCCGCATACTCGAGCTGTGGTTGTAGAGGCTTCTGGTCACCGGGGTTCCATCTGGGGGAGGTGGGATGCGGTACCTACCCCATCTGGGGCTTCCCGATGATCTCGGCTCTTTTTGGAACCTGTTTTTTTTTTTCTTTTTCTTCGGGATCTGTGGATCCCGCCCTCCATGTTGTTCCGCAACTCCCAAATTTGAACACTTCAATCGTCTATTAAATCATCAAAATGAAGACAAATTCTGTGCCTGTAAAAAAAAAGTTCTAAGGGGGTATGGTGCCACCAGCAGGTCAATCTGTACCTGTGAGGCGATTGCATCAGCAGCCTGATGGCACCATCAGACTTTCAGATACCCCAAAATTGCTGCTATGCCTTTGGCCAGATCCCAAAAACTTGGGGCAAAGTTTACCAAGAAAGTAAACGGCCAAAAGTTAGGTACGTGGGAGACACACCCACAAACCACCTCCAGCTCAACTATATAATTGGAGGCATGGCCTCTCTGGTTCCTGATCAAACTGCTTAATGGCCATGATCCCAGAGACTCAGAAACGAATCTCGGAACCCAAAGGCTTTTGGTAGAAATGCATCCTGTTCCTGCAGTAGGTTACCGGCGCTGGGCCACTCCAGGTGGGAATAGGTTTCATGCCTTGGCCTGTTCCCCTTAGCGGCCCTGTGACCACCATCCTCCAGAGGCCACAGGACAGTCAGGGTTGGGCCTGCAGTAACGAGACACGTGGGGCCTCACCAGATAAGGGTGGAACTGACCCTTTCCTCCCTATCCCAGCTAGACCCTGAGTCGCTGCCTGCAAATGGCCTATCTGGCTCCTGATCAAGCAGATCAATGGCCATGATCCCAGAGACTCAGAAACAAATCTCGAAACCCAGCGGCTTTTGGCAGAAATGCATCTGGACCGCATACAAGGTGGCCGCCATCTCAGAGCTTATTGGAAAGCCAAGTATGAGCCAGTGGTGACGGGGCAACTGCAGTCTCATGGGAACGGGGGTAGTACTGGCTCGTCCTTCACGCCCTACCAAGGTCACGAGTTTCCCCACAAGCGGCTCTCTGACACGGCCATGGCTCCAGAGGCAAAAGGACTTAATCCAGAGCTCCGCAGCTTGCAGCAGAAAAGTGAATGGACTATGCGTTAAACTATGGTGCCATGCCTCCCCGGGAGGGAAAGGGTGTTGCTCCCTTCCACCTTCCCCTCCCCCCCAGCAGCAGGGTGACCACGGCCTCAGAGTTTATAGGAAAGCTAGGTATGAACCTGCGGTGATGGAGCAACTGCAGTCTCATGGGAAGAAGGGTGGTACTAGCTCGTCCTTCACACTCTGCTGAGGTCACGAGTTGCCCCCTACAAGCGGCTCTCCAGCACAGCCATAACACCAGACACACAGAAAACAATCTCGTAATTATCTGGCTCTTTGCAGAAATCCAAAATTGCGAGGCTGCTATTGTTGCCACGCGAGATTATATGATTCTCCTGACCAGTATAGAAAACAAAGTATTTTACAATGCCTTTTCAGCAATTCTGATTGTTGGGGGGAAATTCTAAACAATAATGGTGCATCTTTTGTCAAAACAATGAATGTAATCAATGTAGAGAAGAGTTAAGTGGAAATCATCTGCCTCACAGGCATTGGGAGGAGTGGGAGGGGGGTATATTGGGGTTCTTGGTGGTGAAAATTGAATATTGGTGAAGGAGAGGTGTTTGATCATTGTATGACTGAGACTTAAACCTGAAAGCTTAGTAACTTTTCCCACAGTGATTCAGTAAATAAATTAAAAAAATAAAATTATGGAAAAAAAGTTCTATAATTTTATAAGTGGATTCATCAATAAATTTATCATACTTATGATACCCTGGTAAGCACTAAGATAACAATTTTAATCTCATTTAAATTTTAGAACAACTTTCAATTTAATCTTAAGTAAATTGTTAAATTTAGTAACAATGATGAAAAACATTACCAGTTGGTTTGAAATTAACATCTTCATCCATCTTTATCAAGTCAAGAGATGATAAATCGTTCAAATTCTTCAAACATAATTCTGTCCAATTATAAAAAATCATTTCTATTTTAGTAAAAAAGAGGAATCATCACAAAATGTAATTTATTGTCAAATATGCTCAAGTTGTATATTTGTGTAACTGAGAAGAACAGAACCTACTTAAGTGGTAAGAAAAAGTCATTTATTTGTAAACTAATAATGCTAAAAAATTCTAATATTAACAATGTACAAATTGTTAAAATAACATAAAAAAAGTGATAAAATAACATAACTTTAAAATTATATATATTTCAAATTATTAAAACAACACAGTAATTACTAACTCAATTCTTTTTTTTTTTGCTTTTTTTGGGTCACACCCGGTGATGTAAAGGTGTTACTCCTGGCTCATGCACTCAGGAATTACTCCTGGCGTTCCAATACGGAACAATATTGGAACACTCCTGTGTTCCAATACGGCTGTGAGTTCTGGCTGTGAGTTCTGTTTATTTTGCTTTTTTCCCTCTTAAACTTTTATCAGATACATGTGTACGTATTTATACACATATATAAATAGGCACACATACAAATTATAGAGGCCAATTCTTTTATAAAGATTGTTCCCAAAACACATCTTTTCCCTTCCTCAGAGTTTGCCACTTCCTTGAGTCAACCTTTTAGAACTATTTCAGCTAATGCTTTTGGCATTTCCTTCCACATTTCTTCATACACCATTGCTACCTGGGAGGATCCTCTAAATCGGAATGTGAGTTCACTCCAGCGATTTTAGCAGTCAACTACTTTCAGCATTATCTCTGTTTCATGCTGTAAAGCCTAAGAAATTGAAGGGAATTCGGAACAAAAAAGTGGGAATATTTCAGCCTATTTAATCCTACATAGCCATTCACAGCATTTAGAAGGCATGGTTTTGACGAAAATATTTTAGTGGGAGTATCACTGCAAAGAAAGCTGATAGTTTTAATGTTTAGGTAGGACTTTTTAATTCACTGCAACTTTCTTAACCTCCCACTATTCAGTAGACATTTAGTAAGTTAATGATTCAAGAAAGATTTCTTATAGGACGAGCACTACTCTAAGCTTTAGATTTATAGTAATGAGCAAGACGACATTATTTTCTAAAGAACTTATATTATAATGAAAGCAATCAATAAATAATACAGTTTATGGAATCGAAAGATACTGGGTAGGAAAATAATCCTGACAAAGGAACTATGGAGTAGATATTTTAAAGTATAGTGTATTTCTATAAAACTATATAATTTCTGATGTAAAGGAAGAATAGTTAACCTGATTTTTAACATAAAGTACCACTGTTTCCAAGAACAAGGAAAATAATAATGAAATCATTCTAACTTCCTCTCTATAAAGTAGGTTTAAATAAGATAGTCCAGATTGTCCTCTCAGAGGAACTGATACCTGAACAAAGATCTGAATGAAATAAAAATGCAGTTAATATATGCAAGCTTTACAATAAGAAACAGGAGACTGCAAGAGCCTGATGTATAAACAAGGCTGATATATTTGAAGCACCACACAGGAACCCATTTGGAGACTGTGTAAAAAAGGGGGGTGGGTGGGGGGAGGGAATGACATGATGAAGTCTGAAAAAGAGAAGGGAAGAGACAGTTTGGGTCAGGCTGGAGGAAAAAAAAGAAAAACATAAGGGGAGACCTAAGAAGATCTTTATGGGCACTGGTAAGAACCTGATTTTATTCAAAGAGTAAGGGAGGATATTGAAAAATAATGAGCAAGAAAGTATAATCAAATTTAGGACCCTTCCTAAAAGCCTTAAGGCAGATCTCCAAGGATACCAAAACCTTTTATTTAGCTTTATAATAAATCTTTAAAAGTAAGACTTAGCTATTCTCTAATGACTGAAGATAATTGTGATTATGCTAATGTAACAAAATATAAATCAGAACAATATCAGAATACCGCAAGTTATCTCATAAACTTTGTGATTATGGGTTTTTTTTATCATAATGATGAAAACAAAAGATTTTTAAACTCTTTTACAAAATTAGTCAAGAAATGTTACTATCTTATACATATTTACGCCACCATCTAAAAGTAGAATGTTCCTAATTGGTATGATTTGATAGTTTATTTTGGGGTTTGTTAATACTAAAAAATTATTCCATATAAATTAACACTTGCAGCACTTTATTTCCTGGAAAAAAGTCTCTGAACAATGGAGAGAAAGCAATTTATAATCCTAATAAAAGTTTAACAATCTTTTGTTAAATTAAAAGATAGGTAGTGAAATATTGGGTGACTAAAAAATAAAGCTAGGATTTGATGAGAATATATCTTTAGTGGAAATTTTAGCAGAAAGCCCATATTATTAGCAGAAGCCCATAACCAAATGAGGCAAGCACTTTTAATTAAAGTTAAACTAAAATAGAAAAATAAATAGAAGGGTATATAAAAATTTTTATTAACCATGTCATTTAAAATTAAAGAAAAACAGATTAATATCTTATGCAAATGAAGATATGCTGATAGGGTTAATAAATAAATTAATTCGGAAAAAAATACCTGTACCAACCTCTAATTGCATGTGAAAATTTTTTCCTGCAAGTAAGGTTACTTTGTCTTCTTATAAACTGATTTATCATTAGCTTGCAGTATTACAGCATTTAAGGAGTATAGTTTAACACTTTTATTTGTGTATAGGATTCAGCACATTCACACCAAAGTTCCAGTTTAATCCCATCAACAAAAAGATCCCTATGCCCATTTCTCCTACCAATTCTGTCTTTCCCGCTGGTAATCATCATAGTTATCTCTAAATCTAGGAGTAAATTGAGTTATTTCAGGCCAGTTATTTTTTAAATTACTTACGGCCAACATACGAAGGAAATTATCAGTGTCTGTCACTTTCTAAGCAAAGTTATTTTAAAAATTATTTGTAAGAGTATTTTCACTTTCACAACTGATTCTTTTTCATTAAAATGTACAGGATACAATTTTTTAGAAAAAAAATGCATCTAACCTTGTAATTTTGCTTCAATTCCATCTTTGTTCAATCCAGATGAAAAGCCTGTTATGAACATTTGCAAAAAATGAAATAAGATGAACTTAAATCTTTATAAACTCCATTTACATCCCAACTAACAATAACAACAACAACAAAAAAGAATACTCTGAATCTTAAATAGAAAAAACAATAGCTTAGATTTTTAAAAAGTTTAAACATCTCTAGGAAAGATCCAGTAATGAAATCCTTTTAGAAACAACTGACTACTTGGGATCAGAGAGCTAGGATAGTGGGTGCTTATCTTGCACATGGACAACCAGGGTTCCATCCCCAGATTCCCAAATGGTCCCACCAGGAGTGGACCTTGAGAGCAAAATCAAGTGTAATCCCTGATCACTGTCAGGTATAGCCCCCTAAATAAAAACAAAACAATACAATACCTAGTTACTGTGTATTTTGTGTATATTGTGTACAGTGACCAAATAGATGCATTTTCTTTCCCTTGGACAACTAAATATTTTGAACTTTGTGTGTATTAGAATGGTACTGTAATGAGTCAGGTTTTCTCTTGTTAAACAATATTAAGCAATTCCAAATATTTTTACCTTAAACCTGTACTACATGAAAGAACTCTCAAGAAGTAATACAATCAAATGTGTGTTAACTTTAGAAACAAGATGAAAGTTTCAGCAGCAATAGTAGTACTTTGTACTGAATACCAGTTTAGACAGAATTCAAGACTTTAGTTTTACTTATTTTATCTTATCATTACTAAAAAGATATACATTGTCTAGAATTAAACTATTTAGGATGTAAAAACAAGTTTTACTTATTTTAAATAATTTTAAGCATTTGGTGGAATTATTTTCCTAAAAGATCTATTTTTAACCCTGGTATGCAGCACAACCAAAATTTATGACCACTTTAGTCACAGAGATCACTGTAGCACCACAACCAATGTATTCAACCCCCCTTAAGCAGTGTAATTAAGAATGCAAGCACTCCTCCCCATTTAAATAACAACAACACAAAAGGGAAGGGAGAAAAAATTAAATTCTTGGTGAAAAAATAAGTTTTTAAAAAATACTCTAAAATATATTTAAAAAATAAAAGACGTATTTTTAGTGATGCTTATTTCAAATCTTAGTGAAAGGCAGATAAAATAGAAAAAAATCTTTTCTATCTACTCTTGACTTTTTCTAAGTGTATTCTCTAAGAGTATTTTGAATTTTTTACTTTTGTTCTTCTACCTAGCAGTTCCTATAACATGATCTATATGATCTATAAATGTAACATAGACCAAACTGGCTTGAAAGCATTAGTACTTTTCTAAATCAAATTAACAAACCATAATGAGATGGATTTTTCAAGGCTCTAATGTAAAGCAAGGTTGATCGTATCCATTCCAAAGCAATATTTACATCTGTGATGGTACGTAGTACTATCTCTGCATTTAAATGCTCAATAAGATGTCTGTGCAAACTAATAAAAAAAAAACTTCATTAGTTATATATACACACATCAATTTATATAAATGTTATTTTAAAGCAAATAAAACAGTAAATAACAAAAACAACTGAAGATATAATAAACATTGCTACTTTAATACTTAATACCCAAAATACTTAATTCTTAATTCTCAAGATACTTACTAATTAATACTTAATTTTCAAAAATTAAAACTTTAAAGTTCAATTCAACTTTTAAAAAGATTATTGTATTTCTCCATTCCAATCTCTAGTAGGCAAATTATTGTTTTTAAAAATGTGGAAAATGAATTATAACCTATTTTCTCCAAGAATATTGTAAATAAATATTAGAAGTTTTCAGATTGTCTATCATGAGATACATTTCAAAGATATAAGAATAAAAATTACATTTCTTCTCTTACACATTATCACATGCAAAACACAGCAGAATGAGACAGATTACTGTTCTCTCTCTCTTTTTTTTTTTTTGCTTTTTGGGTCATACCTGGCGATGCACAGGGGTTACTCCTGGCTCATGCACTAAGGAATTACTCCTGGTGGTGCTCAGGGTACCATAAGGGGTGCTGGGAATCGAACTTGGGCCGGCCACATGCAAGGCAAACACCCTACCTGCTGCGTTATTGCTCCAGTTCCATTACTGTTCTCTTTTGTGTAAGCTACTTAATTTCTTAAAAAGATACAAACTTTTCACTAACAAAATTAAAAAAAATGTAAATGATGGAGAATGGGCACTGGTGGAGGGATGGGTTTTATAAGTGAAACCCAAGCACAAAAATTTGTAAGTCTACAACTGTACCTCATGGTGTTTCACTATTAAAAATTAAAAAAAAGATACAAACTTTATAGACAATTAAAATTCTTAAGAAAACTTAGAAAACTTTTAAAAGAAAAATGTAGGTTATGTTGACACTATCTTTTTAAAGTATTTTATTACCTGCTTTCCACAGTGTCATTACAAGCCAACATCTGAATGTATTTCTCTCTTGTATTTAACCGAGTCATAATAACGGCAGTAGCTGTAGTGTCAAACTGGTAAAACACACACACACACACACACACACACACACACACACTGCAATTTAGTAAAGAAAAACATCTATTGATAGTATAATCATTAGTAGCTCAAGTAAATTAATATTAAATGACCCCACCCCCACCCCACTTGGTATTAGCACCAGGTCAAAAACACTGCTTAATGCTTCTGAAACAAAATGTTTATTGGAAATTTATTTTAAAACTTTCAAAGGGTAAAGATGTAAATATGTGGCAAATAATTTTGGCAGTGGTAAAATAAAAATAGACCTTGATAAATATTGCAAGGTACAATGATTATAATTTAATTTATCCTAGAAAAAATATATTTTATAAAGGTCTGGGGATATGGCTCAAAGAGATAGATATTGACATGCTAGAGGCCTGATTTCACTTCCCAGCACCATATGAACCTAGAGCAATGTGCTGGAAGTAGCTCCTGAGTTTACTGGTGTTACCTGAAAAACAAATTTATATAACGGTCATGGTCCTCCCGTTGTTCATCGATTTGCTCGAGCGGGCCCAGTAACGTCTCCATTGTGACACTTGTTACTGTGTTTGGCATATCGAATACGTCACGGGGAGCTTGCCAGGCTTTGCCGTGTGGGCAAGATACTCTCGGTAGCTTGCCGGGCTCTCCGAGAGGGATGGAGGAATCGAACTCGGGTCGGCCATATTGGCTGTGTGCAAGGCAAATGCCCTACCGCTATGCTATCGCTCGAGCCCCAAATTTATATAAGAATATTTGAAATTTTAAAAAATGTTATTCTTCTAAGTTGTTCTCTTAGTACCTATATGAATTACTTCTTTATTCAAGCAATTGACCAGTATGGCATGTTTTGTAACATATTGTAGCACAGCGGGTAGGGCGCTTGCCTTGCACGCGGCCAACCTGGGTTTGGTCCCCAGCATCCCATATGATCCCCCAAGCACCGCCAGGAGTAATTTCTGAGTGCAGAGCCAGGAATAACCCCTGAGTATCGCTAGGTGTGACCCAAAAAACAAAAAAAAAATTCCAATAGCATTCCTATTAAAAACTGGGTATGACCCAAAAAGCAAAACAAAAAAAAATATTTTAAGTAAATTTAAAAAATTTTTAAAGCCACAAAAATCTAACTGCATACATATCACAAACCTGATCACTCATTAACAAATTTCTCCATTAAAATGGACTTTTTTCTCATTTACATTTTTATTCAAAGTTAAATTTAAAATATTAATTTATGGATTAAAAAGTCTATGTGTTTGGTAATTTTTCTTCATCTTACAATAAGTACAAAAAGTTAACTGCTGTCACTTACTTGAGGTCTACCAGCTCTACCAATCATCTGAAGAATATCTGATTCACTGTACTCTTCAAACATTCCTCCAGCATAATGCATTGTAGATTTTATAATTACTAGGTGAGCAGGTAAATTTACCCCCATAGCTAAAGTACTTGTGGTAACTGCAGCAAATTAAATAATATTACTTTCAAGCCATATAAATGAACTTTTAATATTTTCCTATACGTTATATTCCTAAAATGTAATAAAAATCAATATATAGGGAATACTTTTAAAGGAATTGAGGAATACATTATAAAATATCTTTAAACCAAAACAAACTATCGAATTCCACTTTTCAAACTGCATTAATTTCAGAAACATGACAAAGAAATAAAACTGCAAAAGATTTGCTGTAGCAAGTATATGCATGCTTTGAAATTAAAATAAAATTTAATATATGATATTAATAAAGGGAAGGAAAGCAGAAATAACTCATAAAAGTTAATCTTTTCTCTTAAAAAAGTTTTCTTGAATATATTAAACTACACAAATATCTTTTACTTACAGAGGACAGGTAGATCTCCAAACATAAAAGCTCCTTCTACAACTTTTCTATCTGACAGTTCCATACCAGCATGATGATAAGCAACACCATGTATTATGATATCTATAATGAAAGATATCACCCTTTATTTAATATTAATATATTAATATTTTATCAGCAATGAAATCCTCTTAGCTGTAGCTGAAAATAATATTCAAAAACTACTCTCTAGAACTAGAGAGCGCTCAACAGGCCTTGCACATACTTTGTATGTGGAAGGCCCTAAAGCATTCTCTGCTACTGCATGGTTCACTGGGCATAGCCAGGAATAGTCCCTAAGAGTTACTAGGTATAGACCCTCCCAAAGAAAAACAGTATCTCTAAAAATACCTCTTAGTTTTGAATCTCTTGTGGAATATGCACACTTCTGCAACCTATTTTAAAATACAATAAAATTAAGTTATTCTGAAGAACACAAAACCAAAGTTTATTATTTTGAGTATTATTAAATCAGAATATCTTTAAAGTAGTAATACTTGAAGATGTAAAGAATATCTAACTTTCAAGGCACACAAATGAATCTCAAACTCGAGCAACTTGCTGCAAAGATGGCCCCAGACTTTGCAATAGGCTGTTTCCGCTGGGCTGCTCCAGATGGGGGCAGGTACTGTACCTCCATCTGCCCTCTAGAAGCTCCGACGGTTGCCATTTTCTAGAAGTCAGCAAGAAGCCCCAGGTATGAGTGGCGGTGGTGGCCAATCCCAAGCCTCATGGGACAGGGGAAGAATGGGCCTTTCTCCTTCCCTCCACCCCCTGGGACTCCGAGATGACACCACATCCGGTCACCGGCTACTTAAGCTCTTATACAGCCACGATCCAGAGACACACAAACGAATCTTGAACCCAAGCAACTTGCTGCAGTGATCTCTTCAGATACTAATTATTAAAAGTTTAGAATTCCAGGGCTGGAGCGATAACACAGTGGGTAGGGCATTTGCCCTGCACGTGCCCAACCCCGGGTTCGATTCCCATCATCCCATATGGTCCCCTGAACACTGCCAGGAGTAATTCCTGAGTGCAGAGCCAGGAGTAACCCCTATGGCTGTGACCCAAAAAGCAAGAAAAAAAAAAGGTTTAGAATCGCAGGAGCAGCCGTGTGACATCATATTGTATCCATAACAAGCAATACAAAACACATTGTCTAGCATTGTATTTTCGGTAGGTATGAGGAGTGGTGGGACTGGTTTTGAAATATCAAAGGTAACTTAAGTAGAGAAAGAGAGTATTGTGAAAACTGTCTGCCACACAGGCATGGGGAGGTGTGGAAAGGCGGAGGATACTAGGAATTTTGGTGGTGGAAAATGGGCACTGGTCAAGGGATGGTGCTTGATGACTGGATGACTGAAGCTCAAATGTGAAGGTTTTGTTACTGCACCTCACGGTGAATCAATAACAAAAATAAAAAAGAAAAAAACTTTTTTAAATTTTTAAAAATTTTAAAAAATTAAAAAAAAGAATATCTAATTTTCATACTGAAAAATGCCTAATTTTAAATCTCAGTAACAGCAAAATGAATTGTAATTGGGAAAGGAAAAAAAATTAAGGAATTATAGTCCCCGACTTTAAACTATACCATAAAAATGCTAGTAATGAAAATAATGTGCCATTACAATAAAAACAGTACAATAAAAACTGATGGAATAGAAATAACAGTCCATAAAGAAACCTTTACATATTTGGATGTCACTGTCACTATCGTCCTGTTGTTCATCGATTTTCTCGAGCGGGCGCAGTAATGTCTCCATTATGAGACTTTGTTATTACTGTGTTTGGCATATTGAATACGTCACGGGGAGCTTGCCAGGCTTTCCTTGCGGGCAAGATACTCTCAGTAGCTTGCCAGGCTCTCCGAGGGGCGGAGGAATCGAACTTGGGTCGGCCATGTTGGCTGCGTGCAAGGCAAATGCCCTACCCACTGTGCTACCGCTCCAGCCCCATATTTGGATGATTAATTTACAACAAAGAAATCAAGGGAGTAAAACAGATAAAGGAAAGAGTCTATAACAAATCATGGTGTGGAAACTGGAGAGTCACACGCAAAAAAAAATGAGCCTGGATCATTGTTTCACATCATGCCTAAGAGTTAATTCCAAATTGGAGAACGTGACGTTCGCCATAACCATGCTGCTGGACCCCGCGTCAGGCTGTTTTACTCGAGGCACCCCAGAGCGGGGGCAGGTGAGACCTCTTCCAGCCCCAAGAGACCCAGTCCCAGCAGCCGAAAGCCCCCAGAACTCAAATAACACCCTCTTCAAGGCCGCTCTCCACATATTCGGGCAGTCTCACCCACGAGTGAACTTTTCCTGGACACTTCATAGGACACACCCTACCCATATTCCAAGAGTACTGTGCCACAATTGATGGGTTTCAAAGTAGAAGACAACCAACCTTAGAGGGAAATATGTTATTTCAGTTCTGCTTTGGGGCTGGGATTGAGGTTCAGGATGGAAACACCAGAAATATGGTGGTGGGAAGGTGTAATGGTGGTGGGATTGGTGTTTGAATTATTAAATGTAATAAAATATTCTGAACTACTTTATAAAATAAAAAAAAATTAAAAAAGAGTTAACTCAAAATTAATTAAAAATCTGATGGGTTGAAGCTATAGCACAGCAGATAAGGCGTTTTGTCTTGCACGCGGCTGACATTGCCAACCCTGGTTCGATTCCTCCACCCATCTCGGAAAGCCCGACAATTCACTGAGAGTATCTCGCCCACACAACAAAGCCTGGCAAGCTACCCGTGACTTACTCAATATGCCAAAAACAGTAACAACAAGTCTCACAATTTGTTGTGAGACATTACTGGTGCCCACTCGAGCGAATCAATGAACAACGGGAGGACAGTGCTACAGACAGTGATGTTTGCTAAAAAATACATGGGAGAAAACAGGCAAAATGCTTTAAGACACTGATTTGGTGATGTCTTGAAAGAGTTAATTCCAAAGGCAAGGAAAACAAGAACAAAATTAACCAATTGTACCAAACTAAAGTTCTTATACTACAAAAGAAACTATCATTAAAACAAAAAGATACCCTACTAAGTGGTAAAAAATATTTACATATCATAACAAAAATAGTGTTACACTTCTATATGAGGCAATCAGTAAAAGGAATATTTTTTAATGGTGAGATCTTATACATGAAAACTATAAATCACCACTTTAAAAACAGTCAAAACCAAAGAAAAATGGAAAAATATTCCATGTTCATAGGGTGTAAGAAATATCAGTGTGAAAATGATCATCCTACCTGATAGACTATGCAGACTGAATGTGGTCCCTACCAAAATTCCCCTGGGATTCTTTAAGGAATTGGAAGCATTAAATTCCCCAATAACAAGGAAATTTTGGTAGAGAGGAAGATGAAGACAATGGAGTCTTTTACTTTAAACTACACTAAAACTATACTAATAAAAATTGCCACTGAAATAAAAGTAGGCTCTCAAGCCAACAGAATAAAATTAAGAGTCCTCAAGTAAACCCTTAGATGTCTAATGTTTATAACAAAGGAGCAATAAATTCAGTAAATCAGAAAAGGAAAATCCCTTCAACAAATGATGCTGGAAACACTGATTAGACACATGCAAAAAATTACACTGGAGCCATATCCCATATCATACACTAAAGTTAACTAAAAATTGATTAAAGACCTCTATATTAGGCCCAAATCCACAAAATACATGGAAGAACACAGATAGAACTCTATGACACTGACTTCAGAGGAGTCTTCAATGACTTGATTTCACTAAAAATTAAAACAAAAATTAACAAATGCAAGCTTAAAGAGTTCTGCATTGTAAAGAAATAAGTTTCAATAAAAAGGCACTATGAGTGTGAGAAAATATCTCACCATGCAACAGACAAAAGGCTAATATTCAAGATACATAAAGCATTTACAAAATTCAAAAATGACAAAAACAAATAACTCCATCGAAGAATGAGAATAAAAGCTGAATAAGTACTTCTCAAAGAAGATATAGAGATAGCCAACAGATATTTAAAAAAAGTTTATCCTTGTCTTTCACGCCCCACTGAGGTCACGTGTTGCCCCCCATGAGCGGCTCTCCAGCGCGGCCATGGCTCCAGAGGCAAAAGGACTTAATCCAGAGCTCAGCAGTTTGTGGCAGAAAAGTGAATGGACTATGCATTAAACTATGGTGCCATGCCTCCCTGGGAGGGAAAGAGTGTCGCTCCCTTCCCCTCCTCCAACTCCGGCAGCAAGGTGGCCGCCGCCTCAAAGCTTATTGGAAAGCCAGGTATGAGCCTACAGTGATGGTGACGGGGCAACTACAGTCTCATGGGAATGGGGGTGGTACTGGCTCGTCCTTCACGTCCTACCGAGGTCATGAGTTGCCCCCCAAGAGTGGCTCTCTGGCACAGCCATAACACCAGATGCACAGAAACCAATCTCATTATCTGGCTCTTGGCAGAAATCCCTCCAGACTTACCTAGTAAAATATCAGAAATCCAAAATCGCACAACATCATATGGTTCTCATAACTGGCCATAAAAAACAAATTATTTCACAATGCCTTTTCAGCAGTTCTGATTGTTGAGGGGGGGGGGGAAATTCTAAACAATAATGATGCATCTGTTCTCAAAATAATGAATGTAATCAAAGCAGAGAGAGAGAGTTAAGTAGAAATCATCTGCCTCACAGGCATTGGGAGGGGTAGGAGGGGGGTATATTGGGGTTCTTGGTGGTGAAAAATAAGTACTGGTGAAGGGAAAGGTGTTTGATCATTGTATGACCGAGACTTAATCTGGAAAATTTTGTAACATTTTCTACAGCGATTCAATAAATAAATATAATAACAACAACAAAAAATCTCTGGTTATCAGGGAAATGCTAAAACAACAATGAAATATCATCTCACAACAGTGAAAATGACATTATATCATAAAGTCTGAAACAATAATTGGCAGAAATGTAATAAAAAAGGAATGCCCATTCACTATTTTAGGGGACTGTCAACTGGTTCAGATTCCATGGGGGAGGGGGGATATATACATATTCATTCCACTTTCTGATATTTAACCCAAGAGCACAAAAACATTAATTCAAAACATTAATCCATATATGAACACCTATGTTCACTGTAGCATTATTAACAATAACCCAAATGCCCAAATCCCAGTGGCAGGGATGAGTGCATAGTGGTAAATATACACAAATAGAATACTACTCAACTATAAGATAACTTGCATTCTGCTACAACTTGGACAGAACTACAGGATGCCATGTTAAGCAAAATAAAGTCAGAGAAGAAAGACAAATGCCATATAATATCATGAATATGTGGTATATAAAGAAGCCAAGCAAGGGAATAGACAATGGTAAATAAAAAAATAAAAACTCTTGGACTCGGAACTAAGGTTGAGGGTTGGGGAAAGCGAGGGTAGTGACAGACAAAAGCACAAAATTTTTATTAGTGAAACACCATGAGGTACAGTTGTAGACTTACAAGTTCTTGTGCTTGGGTTTCAGTTATGCAATGATCGAGTACCCATCCCACCACCAGTGCCCATTCTCCACCCCTACCAATCCCAGTATCCCTCACACCGCCAATCCCCCATCCCACCCGCCTCTGTGTTAGGGCACTCCCTTTTGTTCTATCTCTCCTTTTGGGTGCTGTGGTCTGCAGAAGAGACATTGGGTGGCTATCATGTTCGGTCCATAGATTATTTTCAGCAGGCATCTCCCATCCTGGGCAGATTGTCCCAGCACCCTTTATTTGGTGCTTCCTTTTCTATCTGAGCTGCCTTTACCACTAGAGTGTATGGCTGGCCTCTAAGCCATGGAGTGAACAACATGGTATTTATCACAGCTGTTCTCAGGTGTTAGTCTCTTATTTTGTTACTTTATGTTACCCAGATGAATGCAATCTTTCTATGTCTATCCCTCTCTTTCTGACTCATTTCACTTAGCATAATATTTTCCATATAGTACCACTTGTATGTAAATTTCATGACTTCATTTTTTCTAACTGCTACATAGTACTCCATTGTGTAGATGGACCAAAGTTTCTTTAGCCAGTCATCTGTTCTCGGGCACTCAGTTTTTTTCCCATATTCTAGCTATTGTAAACAGTGCTGCAATGAACAAGTGCAGATGTCACTTCGACTATACTTTTTGGCCTCTCCGAGGCATATTCCCAGGAGTGGTATTGCTGGGTCAAATGGGAGCTCAATTTCTAATTTTTTGAGAGTTGTCCATACTGTTTTCCAAAAGGGTTGAACCAGTCGGCATTCCCACCAGTAGTGAAGGAGGGTCCCTTTCTCGCCACATCCGCTCCAACACAGGTTGCTGTTGTTCTTTTGAATGTGGTGTGGGCCTATCTCTGTGGAGTGAAATGATATCTCACTGCTGTTTTGATCTGCATCTCCCTGATGATTAATGATGTAGAGCATTTTCTCATGTGCCTTTTAGCCATTCGGATTTCTTCTTTGAGAAAGTCTCTGTTCATTTTGTTGCCCCACTTTTTGATAGGGTTGGAAGTTTTCTTCTTGTGGAGTTCAACCAGTACTTTGTATATCCTTGATATCAACCCCTTTTCGGATGTGTATTTGGAGAATATCCTTTCCCATTCTGTAGACTGTCTTTGTATTTTGGTCACTGTTTCTTTTGAGGTGCAGAAGCTTCTTAGTTTAAGATAGTCCCATTTATCTATCTCTGTTTTCACTTGCTTGGCCAGTGACATGACATCTTTGAAGATACCATTAGCTTCAATGTCATGGAGGGTTTTGCCAACTTTGTCTTTAATGTACCTTATGGATTCTGGTCTGATCTTGAGGTCTTTGATCCATTTTGATCTTACTTTTGTAATGGTGTTAGGCAGAGATCTAAGCCCAGTTTTTTGCATGTATTCGTCCAGTTTTGCCAGCACCATTTGTTAAAAAGGTTTTCCTTACTCCACTTCGCATTTCTTGCCCCTTTATCAAAGATTAGATGATCATATGTTTGAGGGGAGATGTCAGTATATTCAACCCTTTTCCATAGGTCTGCAGCTCTGCTTTTGTTCCAGTACCATGCTGTTTTAATTATTACTGCTTTGTAATAGAGTCTGAGGTTCGGGAGTTTAATTCCTCCCATTTTCTTTTTCCCAAGAACTGCTTTAGCTATTCGAGGGGTCTTATTGTTCCATATAAATTTCAGGAGTGTTTGCTCCATTTCTTTGAAGAATGTCATGGGTATCCGAATAGGGATTGCATTGAATTTGTATAGTGCTTTGGGAAGTATTGCCATTTTGACAATATTAATCTCCCGATCCATGAGCAGGGGATATTTTTCCATTTCCTCATGTCTTCTTTTATTTCAAGAAGGAGTGTTTTGTAGTTTTCTTTGTACAGGTCCTTTACTTCCTTAGTTAAACTAATTCCTAGGTAGTTGATTTTCTGGCATACAATTGTGAATGGGATTGTTTTCTTCATGTCATTTTCTTCTCTCTCACTATTTGTGTATAGGAAAGCCATGGACTTTTGGGTATTGATTTTATAGCCTGCAAATTTACTATACAAGCCGATTGTTTCTAGGAGTTGGTAGAGGTTTTAGGGTTCTTTAAGTATAGTATAATATCATCTGGGAATAGTGAGAGCTTTCCTACTTGGATGCCCTTAATATCTTTTTTTTGCCTAATCGCTATTGCAAGTTCTTCCAGTACTATATTGAACAGTAGTGGAGATAGAGGGCATCCTTGTCTCGTCCCTGATCTTAGGGGGGAAGGCTCTCAGTTTTTCCCCATTGAGGATGATGCTTGCTGTAGGCTTGTGGTAGATGGCTTTAACTATATTGAGGAAAGTCCCCTCTATCTCTATTTTGGCAAGGGTTTTCATCATAAACGGGTGCTGGGTCTTGTCAAATGCTTTCTCTGCATCTATTGATATGATCATATGATTTTTATCTTTTCTTTTGTTGATATGATGGATTATGTTGATTGATTTCCGAATGTTAAACCATCCTTGCATCCCCGGGATGAATCCCACTTGGTCATGGTGTATGATCTTTTTGATGAGTTGTTGAATTCTATTTGCTAGTATTTTGTTGAGAATCTTTGCATCTGTGTTCATCAGAGATATTGGCCTGTAGTTTTCTTTTTTTGTGGTGTCTTTGTTTCCTTTTGGTATTAGAGAGATCTGGGCTTCATAGAAACTGTTTGGGAGAGTTTCTGTTTTTTCAATATCCTGGAAAAGTTTGAGAAGGAGTGGCAGTAGGTCCTTTTTAAATGTTAGGAAAAATTCGCTAGTGAATCCATCTGGACCTGGGCTTTTGTTTTTAGGAAGGTTTTTGATTACAGTTTCAATTTCCTTGATGTTAATAGGTCTATTCAGGTATTCCATATCTTCTTGACTCAGCTTTGGGAGATTATAGGAATCCAGGAATTTATCCATTTCTTCCAGATTCTCTTGTTTCGTGAAAAGCACAAAATTTAAGACAACTGAAAAATATATTAACACACAATGAAAAAGAAAAATAAATAAAAATACATGAAGCCCGGAAAAGATTGGAATAAGGGAAAAGACCCAGGATGTGAATCAAGGAGTACAAGCCTGGAATGTGTTCAATTCAAGGTATCACATGGTTTCCCCAGCACCTACAGAGCATGACTCCTGAAGTTACAGAGAATTGCTAGTCATGTTCCCCAAGCATCATGATCAAGTGTTGAACACCCAGACCACCACCTCAAATCCCAGTAACATGAGAGAGGCCTTGGAGCGCTGAGGACAGCTGTGTCTGCACTGTTTATAAGAATGGGAAAACTTCACTAAGAAAGATATACAGATGGCCAACGGTCACATGAAAAAATTATCATTATCACTTATTATCATGAAAAGGCAAATCAAAATAATAATGCAGTACTATCTCAACCTGTGAGAGGAGCCTATATTTCAAAAAGTCAGGAAAAAGTGCTGTACTGTAATGAAAAGAAAACAAGAGAAAATTACAGATTACATTAAGCATTTGATATATGTTACATATAAATCATATATATATAAAATAAACAACCCCTATCCTGAAAAAGTAAAGGGATTCAGAGAGATAGCCCAGGTGGTGAGGCACATCAACCCTTCTTGATTCCTGGACTTTCCTTCAAAATGGTAAGGAACAAATCCAGTTTTATTTCATAATGTTATCCCTAGAACTTTTTCTACATCTAAGATAAAATGAAAAAATATACCTTTGTCGCTGTTCCACTGACATAATAAATTTAGCATCTTTCACAAGAACAGAAGCTGCTTGCTGCACACCTTTCCTTGTTGCACAAAACTAAAAAGAAATGAATCACTTTTTATTGTCACACTAAAAACTTAATATTATGTTTAAAAATAAGAAACGAACAATCCATACCACAAGTGTAGGTTTCTGATCAGAGTATGTTTGTATAACACTGGCAATTTTATAGTTGAGGCTTAAATCGAACTTAAATTCAGTTTGGTTACTACCACAGGGAAATCCAAGGACCACTTTCCGAAGTTTCACTGGTCTATGACTCTCATCCATTTTCAAACATACAGCAGGTCTTTGACCATCAGAAAGCCATTCTGCAATCTTTAACAAAAAAATTAAAAGTTTTAAAAGTTTTATGGCTAAAAAGTAACCCAAGGATAGAACACTCAAAAGCGAAAGAACATCAACAGTCAGGAATGTGATTAGAGTACATGATTCTACTGCATGATTCCCAGGTGCCAAAAATTTTTTTCCAGTATTACATACTTCACAATTCTATTGGTATATGATATCAACTATATCACCTTTAATATTATTGGTTTTTAAGGCGCAGCTGGCAGAACTCTGAGCTTATCCCTGGTTCTGTGCTCAGTGATCACTTCTAGTAGTGTATAAGAGATCATATTTTATATTAGGGTGACAGAAATTGAACCAAGGTCACCCACATTCAAAGCAAATGCCAAATGCTTCAACCCTGTACTATCTTTTGCCCTATTATTGTTTTTATTTTCATTCTTATGAGTACAGAGTAAAACTTAAATAGATTTCGGCAGAGAAATCACATTTCTTATTAGCCATTGTACCTTCTTTGATGTCTTTTAACACTATGCCTACAAGTGACTCTCACTGTTTACATATTCTCCTAAATATCACCTGAAGAATAACAGAGTAATGGTTGGGATAACTTGGATTGGAAAGAATTTGCAAAGACGTTTCAAACAATAAATAATAGCAAAATCATTTGAGAAATGAAATCACCAAGAATACATTTCAGACTTAATGCTAGATCAACTAATTTCTACAGCTGTTACAAGAATGCTTGCTTTCAAACAACTAGGTTTAGTACACAGATTTCATACTCTACTAAGGAATTGATCATTACATTAACAAGAAGATAGACAAAAGAGTGAATAGTTGTACATAAAGGAAATATACATTCTCAAAGCTGTTCGATTCCTCCGCCCCTCTCGGAGAGTCCTGCAAGCTACCAAGAGCATCTTGCCCGCACAGCAAAGCCTGGCAAGCTACCCGTGACGTATTTGATATGCCAAACACAGTAACAAGTCTCACAATGGAGACATTACTGGGCCTGCTCAAGCAAGTCGATGAACAACGTGAGAACAGTGCTACAGTGCTACATTCTCAAAGCTAGTCATCGGTAGGGATTAGATTACGTAAGAATTTATAAATTAAGGGGCAGGGAAGAACTCAAAAGTGTGGAGAGCATGTTTTATATGCTTGAGGCTCTAGTTTGATCTGTGGCACCACATGGTACCCAGAGTGGGGTGTGGCTTCAGACTATCCCTGACATATAGGAATAGTCCTGGTGAACCCCCAAGCACCACTGGCCTTACATAGCACCACTTTACGAGCTTGAGATCTGAACTGTCAGGGCTGCATAGCTGGGCTTAGTATCACCCGGTGTCCTTCAGGTTCCCTAGCACCACTGGGAAGACATTATGGAAACAATAAAATTAAATAAGATAAAATAAGGGATATACAGCTTGAGAGGAATAGAAATCCAAGGATGATATTAGTAGGTAGATACTTTGCTTATACAATGTCAGGTCCATAGAATGTCAGGAAAGTGGGTGGTAATTATCTATACAATTATAATTTTTCAACTTTTAATCTCTACTGTCCTAGTTAAAATTAGAGCAAGGAGATTATAATAATATATTATTAATCAAGTTATGGGGTACTCAAACCCCACGAAACTAAGACTTTTAAATATCAGTAAACAAAAAATTTATTTAAAAAATATTTATTAAACCAAATCAGCTAAACTTAATGCTACCATACCTATGAGGTCTAACCACATAACTTTTTACAATATACTTCTCCATTAAATAATTCACAGAAAATCTGTGATTCGCAAACAATTTTTAAAACTTCACTTTCTTTAAGATTAACATGATGAGAAATTTCACTAGTCATAAAAAACATTTAACTAAAGTAATAACTTACATCTTCAGCATTAGGAATTGTTGCAGATACAGCTACAAATCTTATTGGAATAACAAGACTGGTGTTTTCTAAGGTATGAGATAAAAACTTTACAGTTTTCATTCTGCTGACTACAACTTCAAGAGTCGGACCACGATCTTCATCTTTTACTATATGTACCTAGTGAAGAAATAAAAAAAAAAACATTAGCTATAAATTAAAATCCAGGTAATTAAATACATAGTGATAGTAACACTCTCTTTACTATTAATGAAATAAGCATTTTCCACTTAAAGACATAAAACAAAACATAGAGTTTGGCTGAAACATCTTCCTTAAGGAATCAAGAGTCTACAGAGTAAGAAAAGCCTCTTCCGAAAGTGATGTTAAAGGCTGGAGTGATAGTACAGCGGGGAGAGCGTTTGTTTTGCATGTGGCTGACCAGGGTTCGATCCCCAGAGTCTCCTATGGTCCCCTGAGCACTGCCAGGAGTGATTCTTGAGTGCAGAGCCAGGAGTAAACCCTGTGCATTGCAGTTGTGACCCAAAAAGCCAAAAAAAAAATGATGTTGAAAACACTAGGCTTTCAATAGAAAACTAGGAATTTCATATAGAAATTCCATTTTTAAAAAGAATCTCTATATTGCTTTCCACAGAGACTGTGTCAATTCATATTCTCACCAACACTGTACTAGAATTCCTTTTTCCTCTATCTCCTCACCAATTCTTGCTATTTCTAATATTTTCATTACAGGGCATTTTCATAGTGTGACGTGAAATCCTGTTATTTTATTTGCAGTTTCCTAATAATCACTGATGTAAAATCTTTTTCATGAACATATGAGTCTTCTTTGGATTAAGTATTAATGAGACAGTTTGGATGTGGGTGATGACACGTAATATTTTATACCTAATGAACCCACTGCTTATTATCTAAATCTTATAATAAGATTTATGTAGCTGTTATCAGAATGGCAGGGTGTAATAAGATCAATTAGTAATAAGATCAACTTACCAGAGTAAGTTAGGACAATGGGGACAATTGGTGTGACAAGGAAAAGAACCAAAATTTCAAGTGAACACATTAATTTCAATGATGTACATCTGAAACATACAGTGTTAATATGCAATGTGCCTTCAAAAATAAATAAATAAAATCTATTTTAAATTTTAAAACAAAAAAAATAAAATTAAAATTAAAAACAAAACGATTGCTTTTTTATATCCCTGTATTTTTGAGTTTATTTCTCCCACTCATGTACTATCAAGATCTCACCCTGCTTAGCTTCTGAGATCAGACAAGATTGTGCACTTTCAGTGTGGTATGGCTATAGATTTCATATTTATTTCTAAAAGTGAATAATGTATTCACTACCTCATCAATAAGAAACAATCGAACCAGTTGAACCAAAGAGTTGTCTCTCCATTTCCTAGTCATGCTATCCCATTTTTCCTAGACAAAAAAAAAATACAAGTGGTTTAGTGTGACAAGAAAAATAAATACTATTAATACTTCAATAAAAGGTTAACATGTTATAAATAATAGAGACATATTACAAATGATGGAGACATATTTTTGCTAGTGTCCTAAATGCATTTTGAAAGAGATTTTAGGATTTAGAAATTTAGCTTTTGGGGGTATGGTCTGCAAGCAGGTCAATCTGTACCTGTGAGGCAAGTGCATCAGTAGCCTGATGGCACCATCAGACTTTCAGATACCCCCAAATTGCTGCTGTGCCTTTGGCCAGACCCCAAAAACTTGGGGAAAAATTTACCAAGAAAGTAAACAGCCAAAAGTTAGGTATGTGGGAGACACACCCACAAACCACATCCTGCTCAGCTATATAATTGGAGGCATGGCCTCTCTGGTTCCTGATCAAACTGCTTAATGGCCATGATCCCAGAGACTCAGAAACAAATCTCGGAACCCAAAGGCTTTTGGCAGAAATGCGTCCTGTTCCTGCAGTAGGTTACTGGCGCTGGGCCACTCCAGGTGGGAATAGGTTTCGTGCCTTGGCCTGTTCCCCCTGGCGGCCTGGTGACCGCCATCCTCCAGAGGCCACAGGACAGTCAGGTTTGGGCCTGCAGTGACGAGACATGTGGGGCCTCACCAGATGGGGATGGAACCGACCCTTTCCTCCCCATCCCAGAGAGACCCCAAGTCACTTTCTACAAATGGCCTCTCTGGCCCCTGATCAAGCAGATTAACGGCCATGATCCCAGAGACTCAAAAACAAATCTCGAAACCCAGCAGCTTTTGGCAGAAATGCATCTGGACCGCATACAAGGTGGCCGCCACCTCAGAGTTTATTGGAAAGCCAGGTATGAGCCACCAGTGACGGGGCAACTGCAGTCTCATGGGAAGGGGGGCGGTACCAGCTTGTCCTTCATGTGCTACTGAGGTCACAAGTTGCCCCCCATGAGCAGCTCTCCAGCACGGCCATGGCTCTAGAGGCAAAAGGACTTAATCCAGAGTCTGGCAGCTTGCGGCAGAAAAGTGAATGGACCATGCGTTAAACTATGGTGCCATGCCTCCTCAGGAGGGAAAGGGTGTTGCTCCCTTCCGCCTTTTTCCCACCCTGCAGCAAGGTGGCCACCGCCTCAGAGCTTATTGGAAAGCCAGGTATGAGCCAGCAGTGATGGAGCAACTGCAGTCTCATGGGAAGGAGGGTGGTACCAGCTCGTCCTTCACGCCCTACCAAGGTCATGAGTTGCCCCCCATGAGCAGCTCTCCAGCACAGCCATGGTCTTCAGAGGCAAAAGGACTTAGTCTAGAGCCCAGAAGCTTGAGGCAGAAAAGTGAATGGACCATGCGTTAAACTACAGCACCATGCCTCCCCGGGAGGGAAAGGGTGTTGCTCCCTTCTGCCTCCCCGACTCCCCCCACCCCGCCGCAGCAAGGTGGCCACCACCTCAGATTCGGAAGTGACAGGGCAACTGCAGTCTCATGAGAAGGGGGATGGTACCGACTTATCCTTCACACCCTACCAAGGTCATAAGTTGCCCTTCATGAGCGGCTCTCCAGCATGGCCATGGCTCCAGAGGAAAAAGGACTTAGTCCAGAGCCTGAAAGCTTGTGGCAGGAAAGTGAATAGGCCTTGCCTTAAACTACGGCGCCATGCCTCCCCGGGAGGGAAAAGATGTTGCTCCCTTCTGTGTCCCCCCATGCCCCCGCCCCAACAGCAAGGTGGCCGCCGCCTCAGAGCTTATAGGAAATCCAGGTATGAACTGGCTGTGACGGGGCAACTGCAGTCTCATGGGAGGGGGGTGGTACCGGCTTGTCCTTCACACCCTACTGAGGTCATGAGTTGCCCCCCACAAGTGGCTCTCCGGTACAGCCATAACACCAGATGCACAGAAACCAATCTCATAATTATCTGGCTCTTTGCAGAAATCCAAAATCATTACATGACATTATATGATTCTCATACCAGCTATAGAAAACAAAGTATTTCACGATGCCTTTTCAACAATTCTGATTGTTGAGGGCGGAATTCTAAACAATAATGGTGCATCTTTTGTCAAAATAATGAATGTAATCAATGTAGAAAAGAGTTAAGTAGAAATCATCTGCCTCACAGGCATTGGGAGGGGTGGGATGGGGGGTATATTGGGGTTCTTGGTGTTGAAAAATGAGTACTGGTGAAGGGAAAGGTGTTTGATCATTGTATGACCTAGTCTAAAACCTGAAAGCTTTGTAACTTTTCCCACAGTGATTCAATAAATAAATATAAGAAGAAAAAATAAAATAAATAAAATTATGAAAAAAAAGTAAGGTGGAGTTCATACCCAATTCAATCAGCTAATCAGTGGCTGAATAAATAGCAGTACTCCTACATAAAACAAAAATAAATAAATAAAAATTTAGCTTTTTTGTTTGTTTTTGTGCCACATCCAGAATTTCCCCTGACTTTGTGCTCAGAGCTCACCCCTGACTCTGTGCTCAGGCATCACTCCTGGTAGGGCTTAAGTATTCTGGGGATTGAGACCAGGGGCTAACCATTTATAAGGCAAGAATCCTACTCACTCTACTACCTCTCCAACCCCAATTATAAAAATCTGAAGGAAACAGATTGTCTTCAAAGAATTTAAAAACTCAAGCATAATTTACTGTTAAATTTCACCAAGATAACGAACATAGCAGTTTGAAAGCTCTACCAACATATAATGTTTGGGTTAAAGAAAACTATCAGTTTTACAACATATAATGTTTGGGTAAAAGAAAACTATCAGTAAGTCTATTACAAATTATCCACAGTAACAAATGCCTAATCATAACTATTGTCTACTTTTTATGTCATTTGTCTTCCTTATTTGTGAAGAGAAACATATTTTCTAATAAGCCAAGGATATAATAAAGTACAAATAATACCTACTGGAGTTGTCATAATAATGTGGGCATGCTGAATCTCAAATAGGTCATCCATTACTGTATCTCCTGTGAGTTCTTTACAAATAAGTCCCATAGGTCCAAATTTTTCTTTCCAATCATCAAAACGTTGACTACATAAGGCTTTTATTGGTGCCACTATAATAATATATTTATTTTGAGTATCAGTACAAGTTTTAAATTGTTTTCACAAATATTGGTCAATAAAAATAGGGGGAAATACACATACGTGCTGCCTAATATTGATTAAAGTTAACAATTTGGTGCTTATTTCAGCAGCATATATACTAAAAGTTAGTATGTATAAATCATTTTGCAGTATAAAGGTAACACTTACTAGATCTGAAAATAAACTGAAAAAGAAGTGATTACTCAGGGAATTGTAACTAAAAGCATAAAGAAGTAAAGCAATTGTTGCTTTTCTTTATAAGACATTCTGTGATCTTTCTTTTTTTTATTTGCTTTGTTCTGGAGCCACACCCAGTGATGCTCAGGGCTTACTACTGGCTCTGCACTAAGGAATTACTCCTGGCAGTGCACAAGGGAACATAGAGGGATACTGGAGATCCAACCTGGGTTGGCTGGGTGCAAGGCAAAGTGCCTACTCACCATACTATCTCTCCAGCCCCCAAATGTTTTGTTTTCTTTGGTTGGTTACAACTGGCAACACTTGGGGGCTTCTCTAAGTCCAGTGCTTGGGGCCCTTCCTGGTGGTACTCAGGAGACCATGGACTTCTGGGAATCGAACCAGTGGCTAGAGCATGCATGCCAGTCTTTAAAACTATCTCCCCAGTCAGTGGTCACTGATGTTCTTTTAAACCACACAAATTACCTTGAAGAAAAAATAATAAACTACCAAAGTGCACACTTATAACGGAAGTAGAATTTCTTATGGCAATTTCTAGGGTTTTGGAATGCTTGCTTTTTTCATCTAGCTTGTCCTTTAAAAATTATATAAATATTGAGAATTCACTGGCAAGTTTTAGAAATATCTCCCAAAGGGAAAAGTGGTTGCGGAAAAGCAGGGAAAGGGGAAGGAGCCGCTGGGCGTGATGGGTTGACAAGAAGACTCAGGGTCTCAAATGTGGTGGCAATGGAGTTAAGATCAGTCACATTCTGTGTAAAAAAATGGAAGAATCATGGAAGCCATGGAAAAGTTAAAGTCTAGAATGCAATTCAATGAAATGACCACATAATATAGTGAAGATAAATCCAGGCAAGGAGGAGTCTTGGATTGGATGACCAGAGGGTCCATGGTGGGATCATACCAAGAAGCAGCCTTTGCCTTGCATGTGAGTAGGCTGGATAAGCTCGTGTTTACAGACAGTCCAGCTAAGACAAAATTTGGTTATCATATTATTATGGTTGAAGAAAAAAATAAAATTGTATAGTTTTTAAAAAGTATATAAAAGTGAAAGTGCTCAATTCATATATTATTTTTGTGTATAACTGAAAATATATGTTTTAAATTTAATGTGACAACAAAGTGTGGATGTAAAAATATAAAATACAAATAACAATCCTATGACTTAAGTTTCTTTGCATCTATGGGTTTTATTATAATGAATAATACTTTTACAATATATAAATTGTATAAAATATTTAATACTTACTGTAAACAATTTTAATGTTTGACCATGGCAATGGCACTTCCATTAACAATCTTGTTATAGCTAGTTCAAATATTACAGTTTTTCCAGAGCCAGTTGGAGCACAAATCACAAAATTCTTATCTGTGTAAAGAAGCTTAAAAAATAAAATCTGGTCAATCATGAAATATATAGAAATTTTCATATATATTCTCAATTTTTCTAAAATTATACTTTAGGAAGACTATAGAATAATAGTACAAACACCTTTATCTCTAAAATATTTAAATTCAACTTAGTTCTAGGTTTATTTTCCTCAAAAAATAACATTATTAATAATGTATTATCAGTGATATGCTAGACCTAGAGAAAATCACATTGTATGGTTCCAATTTTTTAAAATAATTTTTAATAGAAACCAACTCATCCATAAAATTCACATGCATTTATTTAATAAACATTTATGAGTTCCTATAATGTACAGTCAGAGTACATCCTGTACTAATACTGAATATAGTACTGGTCATCATAAAGATGAATACAATATAGTCCCTGTCCATAGACAGAATAGATTTTAGTATAAAGATTACGATAAAAAACTTACATCATCAAATGCTTTGGATTGTATATAGTTGAAATATGGGAACTCTTTGAAAATACTTCTAAATTTTGTAGCTTAGAATAACATTAAGGAGTAAATATTTCATAATTTTGAAACTGATACTTTTAAAATTAAATTAACATTATCTGCACCAATATTTAACAATGGAACTTTAGTACTTGGTATCTAGGCATCATAAAAAAGGAAATGAACAGAAAAAAGGAAGAAGCCAACAGAGCAACATAAGAGATTACTGACCTTCCCTCCTCCCACATTGTACTGTATACACAATTATGAAGTAATTCCCTCTAAGAGATATCCAGAAACTAAATGTGGCACTCTTACTCATGAGGGAAATGATAAAATACTCAAGTTGAAATGGACAGAAAAAGGTGACATAATTCTTGCCCTATGTCTCAGGTTGGAACAGTGCCAAAGGATCTGGAGGCAATCCAACCCAAAATTCCAACTTTCCCCCAAGGAACAAAGGATTTTAGACACATCTAGCTGTTCAACTTTTAATATTCATATCTAAGGGAAGAACTTAAAACATCTAGTACTGAAACACAATGAGTAATGAAACACATTTACAAATCCCACAAGATAATAACAATAAAGCACAGGTGAATCTTCTGCTGTCCATGTTCCACTAGAGAGATCAGTGCAAAATATGAGGCAAAAATTGCCCTCCCAATTTCTACATGAAAAGGATTTAACCACATATTTTCCCAACTACCATCTGTGATTCTGGCTTCCAGTCATTAAGCATTTAGATGCTCACTAAAATCCCCATTTTGGGAGACTGATAGATGTAGTACACCATCAACTACTGAGAGACACTATGAACAAAGACAGAGATTTGGACAATGACAAAAGTTTCAGAAACAAGTGTCTTGATCTTGGTTGGTTGATGAAGTTTATTTCAAACACAAGACAAGACCAGTCTACCCTGGTGCAAGGATGCTGACACTATCTATGGTGTTGGAGTTGGAGCATGATTCTTCAAAGGTGTTATTAAAAGCATTTTAAGTTACAGCAGCCAAAAACCTCAGAAGTCAATCACTGCCATGCTCACAGCCACTCTCCACAGGCTCCGACGAGCCTCACCCAAGACTGAATCTGCAGGAAAAACCCAGGTATGCAGGAACAGTGACTGAAATCTCCAAGCTCACTCAGAGTAGGAATGGGCCTCCTCCCCCACATCTCCCAAGTTTACCAGTAGCTTGGCAGTCACACCCAAAAACTGCCCCTGGCGCCATATAATCTCATCAATGACCATGATCCAGAGACTCAGAAATAAAGCTCCTGGAAGAGAGCAACATAGGCCTCACCCATGAATGAATGTGCTCTATAATCATATTTCAAATTTTAGAATTCCTGGAGTGACCTCTCACACTCTACACCACTGATGTACCAAGAGTAGCACACAACATTTGATTGGGTTAAACAAGCATGTTAGTAATCTCTTATACAAGGGTTTAATGGCTCCAGGATGAAATACAACAATCTTCACACATTTCCTCTAAGGAAACTTTACTGGATGATTTTTAGTGGATTATTCATAATCACTGTATCACTGTCATCCTGTTGTTGATTGATTTCCTCAAGCAGGCACCAGTAACGTCTCCATTCGTCATAGCCCTGAGATTTTAGCAGGTGTCACATTGGAGGCTCCTTCAGGGTCAGGGGAATGAGACCCATCATTGTTATTGGGTTTTGGCATATCGAATACACCACGGGGAGCTTGCCAGACTCTGCCGTGTGGGCAGGATACACTTGGTAGCCTGTTGGGTTCTCCAAGAGTGAGAACTAGACAATAAAACCTGGCAGCTGGGTTTTATAGTCCCTGGGTTTGGCCATTGATGGTATAACACAGTCCCAGGGGCAGTTCGTGGGTATAACGCCTAGCTACTGGAAGTTGGGGGATCTGGGTGGAGGAGGCCCAGTCCTGATCCTAGCAGGCTTGGAGATCTCAGCCCCAGATTCTGGTGGGCTGGAGTGATAGCACAGCAGTAGGGCATTTGCCTTACAAGCGGCGAACATGGCCAACCCGAGTTCAATTCCTCCGCCCCTCTTGGAGAGCCCGGCAAGCTGCTGAGAGTATCTCGCCTGCATGGCAGAGCCTGGCAAGCTACCCATGACGTATTCAATATGCCAAACACAGTAACAAGTCTCACGATGGAGACATTACTAGGCCCGCCTGAGCAAATCAATGAACAAAGGGAGGACCATGACCGTGACCGTGACATTCTGGTAACACTTTGCTGTCTTTTGATGGGAACTCTAGCAGCACTGGAAGTATAAAATAATTATATCAATGTTGTTGTAAACTACAACATTCAATAAAAAATAATTGGGGAAACTATAGTCTTCAAATATATTACATCTAAAATAAAAAGACCAGTCTTTCAAGATGGAGAGAGTTGAAAGTCTGCTTTAATGTTCAGAAACCAACACAGTAAATGAAAATAAAAGGAGGATGATAAATTTCCAGAAACCACCGTAGCACTGTCCTCCTGTTGTTCACTGATTTGCTTCAGCAGGGACCAGTAATGTCTCCATTGTGAGACTTGTTGTTACTGGTTTTTGCATATCGAATATGCCACAGGGAGCTTGCCAGGCTCTGCCAAGGTGGCAGGATACTCATGGTAGCTTGCCGGGCTCTCTGAGAAGGATGGAGGAACTGAACCTGAGTTGGTCATGTGCAAGGCAAATGCCCTACCCACTGTGCTATGGCTCTAGCCCTTACAGAAACCAAACGTGATAAAATACAATTTAATTTGAACTCAACAGATGGTTCAAATTAAAGATGCAGAGTGGGACAAGAGAACAATGCATAAAAAGTAAAAATTTTAACAAAAGTATAAAAATAACAGACAAAAATCACACAGCTGAACAATATAAGAATTGAACTGAACACAAAGGAAAAAACTTCAACAGAAATAATCAATACAATCCTCTTCTCCCCCACTCCCTAAAAAGAAGAGGAAAGAACATTTCCAAAACTCATTCTATAAAGCCAGCAATAAGGAAGATAAGGGCAATTGTCTGCCACAGAAGCAGGGATGGCATGGAACAAGGCGTAGGGGAGTGATACTGGGGATATTGGAGGTGGAAAATGTACACTGGTGGAGGGACGGGTGTTTGATCATTGTATGACTGAAATTCAAACATGAAAGCTTTGAAACTGTAGCTCATGTTGATTCAATTAAAAAAAGATAAGGAAAGTGTAAGAAACCAAAATCCAGACCAGTATCATTAGTACACATATTTAAATTCTTCAACTAGATTATCAGCAAATCAAATTCAACAGTGTATTAAAAAGGATCACAGACAGCTTCCCCCATGTTGACTCACCCACATAGCCCTAGTCTTCTGATGCATGACACTCAATCTCTGAGGAGATGCAAGCCAAGCAGTTAAAATTCATGGACACACAAGTCCCCACAGGTGACAACTCTAGAGATCCCTCAAAGAGGGGAAGGCATAATCCCCGCCCTGCAGAAGTTCCCGCAGCTTCACCCACAACCCACAACTGCTGCCAACACCCATGGTGCAATTCCACCATTTCACCAATACACTCTGCGGAGACCCCAAACTGTGAAGATTTCAGATACTCCCGATGTTCAGGCTGTGAACTTCAGTATCTTTTTAACTCATTGGCCCAGATCATAGATTCTAAAGTGTTGGACCACGTGGCTTCATATGTGACTGCATGACACCTCCAAATTCATTAATACTGAAATTCTGGTAGGAGCACACCACCAAATCACAAGGGAAAGTAGCACAGACACCAACTAAATTCAGCAAACAAAAACAGTAACACTGAAGGTTCAATTAACAACAAACAGTAAATCCTTAGAGAAGGACGTCATAACCCCATGGTGAGATAAAACAATTTCACATATTTTCCAAGCGGTATGAAATAAATTAATGTGTGCCTGCTAAAGGAAGCAGTCTTAGAGGGTGGTTTGGTAAATGAAGACAGTGGAGGAGGGAGGTCACATTGGTGGTGGAATTGGTATTCGAATATCAAAAGCCTGTAAAACTGTATTATGAACAACTCTGTAAACAAGTGTTTAAATAAAGTTTATTACTTACCAAAAAGAAAATCACAGACCATGTCAGATGGAATGTATTTTTGGACTGCAAATACAGTTTAACATATGAAATCAATGTGAAACACCACAATAAAAATCATATGATCATCTCTATAGATGCAAATAAAAAACATTTAACAAAATATTGCATCCTTTTATGATTAAAATTCTTAGTCCACTGTCTCAAAATAATGTATGTCAATAAAATATAAGCCATATTAAGATAAACTCAAACTAATATTCTACTCAACATTTAAACTAAAGAATTCCTCTGACATCAAAAACAGTACAAGAATCACCCACCCTCACCACTTTTATTGAGAATAGTACTGGAAGTCCTAGCCAAAGAAATTGTAAAATACAAATAAAAGGCATAAGAATCAGAAAGGAAAGATTAAAATTATCTCTATTTGTGAGTGATATAACAGTAACATGCAAAGCCCCACCAAAATATTATAACATTTTAAGAAATTAAATAATCAAAAATTAAAGATTGCTCTATGAAAATATTTAAGACACATTTAACAGTTGTATTACACACGGGTTTCTTAACAATTTAATCTGCTAAATGATGAGTGTATTGGAATATTGATTTGGCAAGAACTTAAATTATCCTAACTCTATAAGAAAGTTCTAAAACATTAATTAATAAGAATAAACTGTCCCTTTTCCAAGGTAAGAGTCTATTGTCTGTTAGGAAAACATTTGCAATTACATGGCATTATTTTTAGTTTGAGTCATATTTGTCAACTACATATATTAAACACTATATGCAGAATATATTATTTTTTTAAATAAAGTTGCCAGAGCTATAAAGTAAAAAACGTGTTCCAACAATTGAGACTTTACTATACATTAACAGTATAGGATGCATATCTGAAAACAAATAGAAATTTAATACTAGATATACTGTCTTTTATGATGCTATACAAAAGTCGATAATTTATAGTAATACCGCTATAAATTAAATCAGATTACACATTTCTCTGCACAAATTTCTCCTTTTATCTCAAAACATCTCACTACAAGGTCCATATCTTATACTTTTCACCTCATCATAGTCTTGCCTCTGACTCATCTCTGGTCATATCACAATTTTCTTCAAGTGGGGGTCATGCAACATCCTGTGGGCCCTCAGAATATTCCAAAGGGACCAAGGCATAAGATTATGGGCCAATCAATAGGATACAGATCAAAGGAAAGAAACAAGGTCAGAGGGGTGCCTCGGTCAGAAAAAGAATAAGAAACAATGCACTAGATTCTCTTGTCATCTTACAAGAGTATTTCAGTCATATTTCCTGCTGTAAGGCCTTCTCTATGCCTTGCTTGTTCCCTCAACATTTCATTTACTTCAGTTGCTCTTTCACTCCCATCAGTTGCATGAATCTCACTATCCCAAAGTCTTCTTTAATTACTCTACTTAATTCTAATCCTGAGCTGCCATCTAAGTCTTACCAACTTACTATCTCTTATTCCATTCTCCTTTTTTCCATGTTACACACCAAGTCCTAAGATACTGACTTCTTCATATGTTTATGTTTTTTTATTTTGTACATTTATGTGTTTTCACAATAGCTCAGATATATTTATCTCCCTACCTCCATCACAAAAATTTTAACTCCTTAGGTGCAAGGATTCATTATCAATTGTCTTAAGTGGCATCTGAAATACTTATAGCAGTTCCTGTACCCAATAAGCACTCATTTAATACAGCTTTATATTTATTACATCAATCAGAAAAAATTATAAATCTTCATTTTATTTCCAGTTTTACAGTGTCTGAATAGTTGCACTAAAACAGAAATGTAATTTTGAGTTTGGCAATCCATCACCTTCTGAAGGAATTTTACTTTTCCTTCACAATATGTCCCTTTCTATAAAATATTTATTTGTAACAAGGCCACTAGTGAGCCATCATGCTGTTTTTTTCTCTTATTAGGTAGTTCTACATCAATTTACATTCACAAACTGAATTTTTGATTCAGAGTAGACACAGAATCAGTTTTCTAGATCATGAGAAAACTAAAATACTAGCATCATTTATTATCACTGTCAACACTTGATATTATATCTTTCCTTTCAATCAAAAAACTCTCAGCAGTATCACTGCAATTATACATTATAACAGGGAGGAAAACATCTGCAGAACTAAAAATGCCACGAGGACTATGGCAGGATAAACATGACCAAACTTCCACTGTACTGGATTCAAATACTATAAAACAAAAATAATCAATGTATACAGGAGAAGGCAGCAATCCTTACCAACAAAAGAAAACAAAACAAGAAAACCATTTTGGCTCTGCCAAGTCTAAACACTTAAAATGTTTCAAAAGGTAGTATTATATAATGGAAAGTTCTAATAAAAAAGTAAGAATTTCACATCATATAGATAATAAAAGAAGCTATTTACTGATATTTCCTATGATTCCCACCTAGTTTAGATCACTGAAAGAAGGAAATGCAGCAGGACTGCAATATCATGCTGAGCAGAAGCATTAAAGACTAGTTATTTCAAAAGTTATCCAAGGACAGTGGAAACAAGGGCCAGAAAGAATGGTCCACAGTTGGAAGCTTGCCAAGTGGTGGTTGGGGGTGGGGGACAGCTAGGATAGTGAAGGTTCCACTATGCCAAATATAATTGGAAATTATCACTCTGGACAAGAACTGAATGCTGAAAGTAGGTAAAGGGACAAATATGATAGATAACCTTTAAGTACCTAATGCCCAAGGCGGGGGTTGGGGGGGAGAGACAGACATACACACACAGAGAGAGAGAGAGAGAGAGAGAGAGAGAGAGAGAGAGAGAGAGAGAGAGAGAGAGAGAGAGATCTATTATAGAGGTAAGCCAGAGGGAGAGGGCATGAGGGAAACTGGGGGCATATTTCACTCTCAAACTGTCCCAGTATGGATGAGTGTCCACTCCATCAAAGGTCCAGCACTCCACTTACCTACACTCACCAAAGAACGGGCCCAGCTTCACAACTGATCTCAAAGATGCAGGCAGCTGATGTCCCAGCTACAAAGCTTCTAAAGCTAGATCAGGTACCAGGGGCAGCAGAGTAGACACCTGGCTCTCAATGGTTCTCTGTTCTGCCCCCAAAATACAGTGGTTAAGACACACCACAGCAGTTTTGCTCTAAAGGTTTGGGGATGCAGTTGTCAAGAATGAGTGTGCTAGTGTGTGTGTGTGTGTGTGTGTGTGTGTGTGTGTGTGAGAGAGAGAGAGAGAGAGAGAGAGAGAGAGAGAGAGAGAGAAAGAGAGTGTGTAGGTCACATTTTGTTTAGCGCTAGCAGACACACCCGGTCTCTTACATAAACAACACAAAAGATTCACCTTTCCCTCTTTGCTGACCAAAATAAATAAATAGGAATTCAACAAAACAAAATGTCTCAATAAAATAATAATCATTATTCCAAATATAACAAGTTGTAAAGGATACGGATTTCTGTCACAGCCTTCAAAGAATCTAATCCAGTTTCTGATAACCCTAAAAAAAGAATACTACATTCTTACACGGACATTTCCTTATCTTTTCAATAAAAACCATTGCAATAAAACTTACTTTTTATATATTGAGACAAGCTTTAAAACACTAGAGTACAGTTTTAAAAAATACAAATACTTTAAAAATACAAATATTACAGGAATGCAGGAATTGCACTTATAGATTATCTATTCTAATTTGTGTATTTGTGTATTCTTTTTATGCCAAAAATACAGAAAAATTTGTATTTTTATAAAATTAACTGAAAAACTGCAAAGAATGACCTTGAACTTTATGGTGCAGGGGTAAAGATGGAAGAGATGGTGCTCTGAATAAGCCTTCTCTGGTTCTAGATGCAGGAAAAGTATTACCTGGTGAAAATGGTTTACTGTTTGAATACTGAGATTTCTGCTTATTATTGTTACATTTCCATGATTTTCCTTTGTTAACTTCTGTTTGGACAATTTTTCCTGAACCAACAAGGGAGTCCAAGTTTTCACTATCATTAGAAATAGCACTCATATGCATATTGTCAGATATTTTAAATAACCTGAAAAACAAAATAAAAACAAGTTTCACCCTTAGAACAAATGCTTAGAATATGAGAAATTGGCATAAAATTGGTCCCTTCTAAAATAGTCATAAATTATGGTTTATTTGTGCTCACAGCAGCAGCATATATACTAGATTATGATTTATCCAAACAAAAAAATAGATATCTTAAAACATAACCTGTTATATTTACTAATTAATATTTTTTTCACTAAAAATTATGTATCTGTATTTGTGACAGCCAGCTTCCAAAGACTTTATGGATCTTTGTCTCCTGGTATGCATACTTTTTTCTCTACATAAGTTTAAGAATGGCCTATGAGACTAATACAATAGTACCGCAGCAGAAGTTTGTGGTTTTCAAGGCTAGATCACAGTATACTTTATTGCTTCTATATGATCTCTTTGATCACTCTGAGGGAAGCTAAGCACTGCACCATGAGAACAATCAACTCTAGAAAAAGTTCCATCTGGACAGGTATTAAGGTCTCCTGTCAATTAAAAGCACTACTATAAGAAATATTTTGGAAAGATCTAGCAAATACAAAAGCCATCTCTGAGACGATAATTTAATTTTATTTGACTGATGAAAAGATAATGTATCATAGTAACTTGTTCACAACAGTCCTAAGGGATGAAATGACTATGAAAGTTTCTAATACAAGACTCACATCTTAAAGATAAGTAATGAGGACAATAGCAGATAATAGTCTTAAAGAATTCTGTAAGAAATGGCATCCAAATGAAAACTTCAGAATACAGAATGATCTCTAAATGATTTTTACTATTAATTTCAATGACATTATTTTATGTAAGATGATTTTCTAAACACTCTGAGAGAAAAACGTATAGAAATTTTAGAGGTGCATCCTCTTCCAGTTGTTTATATTTTCAAAAATGAAAATTCAAAAGCAGATGATTGGTTTTTATTAAATAATACAGCAGAATCTTATTATGGGATGGTAATAGGGACTAAAAAAAACATTTATGGCATAGGATGAATCTTTGCTACATTAAAAGTTATGCTGTGATAATAGTTAAAAGCATAGACTTTAGGATCAGATATATTTGGGCTTATTCCAAAGCTCTTAAACTTTCTAGATGAGCAAAGTTTTTATTAGACCTTGAAATGAGTTTTGCAAATTTAGAAAATACAAAATACATTGTTATTTGTTTAGTTATGTGGCTATCAGAGTCGTCCTAGATTCTGTGACCGTCCACAGATTCCTCAATTTCTCTATTGTTATATTTACTCCCTCGTCTTAACAAAAATACTATTTTTTTCTGAAAAAATCTTGTTCCTTAAAAATCTATTGAATGAAAACTGTTAATTCCCTACACTCAATTTACCTAAGGACTGGATGTCTGTGCCTTCTCAACCCCAAATCTAGACTATTCAACTCTCTCAGAAAAGCACCTGTGTTTTTATAACTTTGTAACTCTCCTCATTGCATATATTACCTATAAAAACTGCAGTCACTTTTGAATCTTTTCCTCTCAATCCCAAATTCGGTCATTTAATTTTTTAAAAAAAATTCTATACCTAAAGACTGATAAAATATAGCAAAATAGGATACGTATACAAGTTGGCACTACATAATCCAAGTGTACCAAGTGTTGGGTGACAATAATTTCTGCCAAAAACCATCAGGAAGGTTCTGTTAATCACCAACAGTTTAGATTATTGGTTGAAACTACTGATTTAGGTTACTTCAAAACCATACAGACAATCCATTCAAAACCCCACCCTCTCAAGTTTCTTAGGTATTCATCTCCAGTAATTACTTCTGCTTCCCACTACTTCAATCATCTTTACCTTATATTTTGTTATTATATAGTATTATTCTTCTTCTAAAATATTATATTTCATTCTCTGACCATAACCTCTTATCCTGTTTGTTCAAAGTACCAATAAGATTAAAAATAAAAGAAAGAAAGAAATTTACTATATTTTCTCCCAAAGCATTCTACCCTTCTTTTGTCTCATGCAACTTTGTCTTACATTGGACAAGACTAACATTCCATGGTTTTTTAACATTCCATGTACTTATAGTTTATATTTTCAATCACTCTTATCATTCTCTTAAACTCTCTTTGGTAATCTTCAATCATTTTTAAGTATAACAATGGTTCCTGACCATGGAGAGTTTGAGAATCTCTGCTCTAACCAGACATATTTCATCAGAATACTCTCATGCTCTAATATATTTTTTCTAATATATTTTTATCAATTATTTCTAGTTATTTACTATCTTTTAAACATTAAAACATTAACTCTCTGAAAACTAATAACATGTGATTAGAATCCATTATCAGAACATCCGGTATACAGGCACTTCCATTTATTATTTTTGTTTGTTTTCCCATTTAGGGGCCACACTTAGTGGTGCTCAGGGCTTAATCCTGCCTTGTCACTACTGGTGGGGTTTAGGGGACCATATGTGGTGGAGATTGAATCCTGGTCAGCCACATGCAAGGCAAGTAAGTGACTTACCCCACTGTACGATCTCCCCTGTTCTCCATTTGTTGTTGATGTTTTTCTTACTCACATTCTACTATATGTCAAACTTTTTAAGATATATATATATTCAATTTTATTCACAGTATCATTAATTTAATTACCTTTTTTGAAAAACTGATGGGCTCTCTTCTTTATCTTCTGCAAAATTAATTAAGTTGGTATCTTCTTGTATATTGTTTTCAGGTGTTATCTTACTGCCAAACTGGCTTTTGCATTTCTGAGAATTGTATGTCAGCTTGACAGCAACATTTGATATGCCATTGTTAACTGCCACTTCTAAATTCTGATCATTTTCTTTATTATTATAAGAGGGGAAGGGAAACTGAAATGTTTGTCTTGGCAAAATGAAATTTGTGTTTTCATCAGTTATCTTTATGTTTGATGTTAACATTCTCGGCCACTTTTCCTGACCTACAAATAGAATATGTTAATTATTACATGTTCTCCCATAAAACAAAATTTCAAAATAAAGACACTCAAAATAGAATTGAGAGCCCAAAATCTCTAACTTATATGGACAACTAGTCAAATAACAAAGAAGCAAAGAGAATAAAATAAAAAATGAATCTACAACAAACAATAGTGGGGAAACTAGATAGCTACACGCAAAAGAAGGAAATCAAATCATTATCCCACAGCAATCACAAAAGTTAACTGAACATCAATTAAAAACTTAAATGTCTGGGGTGGAGATATAATTTATTGGTAGAGTACGTGCACTGCAGTCTTACATGTGTCAAGTCATGAATTCAATTCCTGGCTCCAAACACATCAAAAAAACTTAAAATAAAATAAAATATAGCTTCAGGGACTGGACTCCACTTGGCTAGGAAAACAAAAGCAAAAACTAAGAAATGGAATTACATTATACTAGAATTTTAAAGAAAAAAATTGTTAAAAAGTAATAATAAAATAATACTTTTTTAATGTACAAAAAAATTTCACTAAAACAAAAAGACATCCTACTGAATGGTAGAAAATATTCACACAGCATGCATCTGATAAAAGTATTGTCTAAATATATAAATTTAGAGACAGGAGAAGATGGTGGTTGTGCAGTGGCAGGTGCCAGAGTTGGCAGAGTGTCAGTATTCTGAACAGAGGAGCCAATAGGGTCATAAAATTTCTACATGAATGACTATAAGTGTCCTTTAAATATTTTCTCTCAAAAAGAGTGGCTTTAAAGAGAAACCAAACTGGCACCCATCACAGAGAGCCAGCCCAGAGTGGGACACATGAAGATGGCAGCAGCAGAGCCAGGGGCACAGAAGCTGACAGAGCAACTGCAGCAATCAGTACTAGGGGTGATAGTCCACTGCCATGGCAGTATTTTTGTCTGAATGAGTAAGGAGTTTGCTTGAGCGGGCCCAGTAACGTCTCCATTGGAGACTTTGTTGTTACTGTGTCTGGCATATCGAATACTCTCGGTAGCTTGCCGGGCTCTCTGAGAGGGGCGGAGGAATCGAACTCGGGTCGGCCATGTTGGCTGCGTGCAAGGCAGATGCCCTACCCTCTGTGCCCGCTCGAGTAAGGAGTACTGGGACCGTGGATTCCAGAGTTGAGGGGGCGCCCCAGGTTCCCACCATAGGGGGCCTGACTTCTGCAGCACCAGCAACTCGCTTCTGCCATCGCTGGCAGGGCATCCCAGCTGCCACTGCGCCCCCAGATTAGCTCTTACTGCCACTGCTGCAAGGCACAGCATATTAATGCCTTCTGGTCAGGTTCTTCTGGACTGGTGGTAGCAGCCCAACCAGTGCATCCAAGCTGCATACAGTAGCCACCCTGGTCCTGGTTCTGGACCTGGCCAGGGCTGCTGCTACTGCCACCACTTGGACCCAGAGGGCACAGCATCACTGGCAGGTCACCCTGGTCCTGAAGGTCAGGAGCTACAGCAGCCTGATTGTGTCCTCTGGCTTTCTGATGTCCCTGAGGTGCTGTTGTGCCTCTAGCGGAAGTGCAACAACTTGGAACCAAGTTTGCAAAGAAATTTAACTATCAAAATCTTGGTACGCAGGAGCCATACCTACAAACAACCACTTTCAGCTCCACTGTACAAGCTCATTTATCGTTCTTGCTCCAAAGACTCATAAGTAAATATCAAAAGAGATTTTTTAAAATGCCTTATCTTTTTGGACCCACACACCGTTGAATAATCTGGGGTATATTGGAAGGGGAGCAAGTTAGCCTAGTGTCCACCCAAACAGAGCCCCTGACAGCTGCTTGTTCCCACAGTCCAAAATCACTGCCATGTCCCTGGCCGGACTTCACTGTCTCAAGATGGAACTCACCTAAATTAACCTGCTGAAAATTGGGGTATGTGGGTTTTGTGAGTGAAATCTCCAGGCTTACTCAGAGTTGGGACGGGCTACCTCCTGCCAACTTCCCTATACTTGTGAGTGAAATCTCCAGGCTTCCTCAGAGTAGGGATGGACTATCTCCCCCCCCCCCCCCTCCACTTCCCTATACTCCCAGAAGCCCGGAATTTACCCCAATGAACCAATTTCAGCACTACCATGAGAAGCTTTTCTACCGGTCTTGCTCCAGTCACCATAAATAAATCTCAGACCTGCGCATGGCTAAACAATCTGGGGTACATCAAAGGGGGATGGGTTAGCCGGGTGTCTGCACAAACAGAGCCCCTGGAAACCACTTGCTCCCACAATCCAAAATTACTGCTATGCCCCTGGGCCAGACTCTACCATCTCTGGAAAGACCTCATCAAGATATAATCTGCTGAAAATTTGGGTATGCATGTTTTGTGACTGAAATCTCTAGGCTTCCTCCGAATGGGGATGAGCTATTCCCACCCACGCCAGAAGCCCCGGTAGTTATGTCTACACGCCAAAGCTGCTGCCCAGTTAAAAAGGCTACTCCAATTGTACCTTCTTGATAAAAATACTGAACTCCCTGAACTAACAGGATAACCATTTAGTACCTGTATTGCAAACTATAATACATAAAAGGAGAGAAAGAAGAAAAATACCTGCCATGGGAGGCAGGCTAAGGGGTGGGGGTCACTTAGGAGGTGGTGGGAGGAAAACTGGGGATATCAGAAGTGAGAAGTGTGCAGTGATGCAGGGAAGGGTGTTGGAATATATGGCTGAAACCCAATCATGAACAGTTTTGTTTTGGTCTATCTCATAGTGATAAAGAAACAAAGAAAGAAAGAAAGAAAGAAAGGAAGGAAGGAAGGAAGGAAGGAAGAGAAGGGAGGGAGGAAGAGAGGGAGCAAAAGAACTCATAAAATTCTGCCAAACACACACACACAAAGATGAGCTAAACAGACACTTCACCAAAGAAAACACACATATAACCCACAAATGCATAAAGAAATGCTCATTATCACTTATTATGAAGGAAGTGAAAGTCAAAATAAAAATGAGGTCATTTTCCTGTGAAGATGACCTAGAATCAGAAAGTCCAGAACAAGTGCTTGTCAAGATGTAGAGAAAACAGATCCCTCATACACTGGCAGAGGGAATGTGAAATGGTCCCACCTCTTTGGGAAAGAGTACAAAGATTTCTCAAAATATTAAAAATAGAACTACGAGTCCCACAAACAACCTCTATGTAAGCCCAGCTTTACAGACTCATGGTTAAATCTTGGACGAGATGCAAGCCAAATGCAAAAATTCATGGGTATACTGGTCTCCTGACTGAAAACTCTACAGCATCAGTAGGAAGGGGGCAAAGCTGAGTCCCTGTCACGCTAAAGCCCTCGCAGCTGCACCCATACTTCATAGCTGCAGCCATGCCAATGATCCAACTCCACTACTTCATGACTAATCTGCAGAGATACCAAACTGTCGAAAGTTCCAGGTATAAGAGTTTTCAGGCTGAAAGCTTTAGGTTTTCCACAGAGTGAAGACTGGAAGTTTCCCTTCACCCCACATACTTCTGGAACTACCAACAGCCACACACACATCCCATGACTGCTGCCATGTAAGCTCATCCATTGGCCCAACTTTACAGACTCATGATTAAACCTTGGAAAAGATGCAAGCCAGGAACAAAAAATTCACCAGGATATACGGGTCTCCTAAACGAAAACTCTGGGACACCCCTGGAAGGAGGATGGGCCAAAACCCCACTCTGCTGATGTTAACTCACAGTCTAATTCATATCCTGGAGTTCCTGGAGCAAATACTCCAAATTCTGCAAGAGTGATATCCCAGGAGGTGTACACCAAATTAGATGGTAAAGTAACAAAAAAAGCTAAAAATTAACATTAATAATAAAGACTCAACTAGCGAAGAACAGCTTAGTAATATAAGGAGTTAATGATTGGATGGTGAGATATAACATTTTTCACAGTATTTTTTACTTAAGTATTTTTTTGATAATTTCATTATTCCTTTAGTTGTGTTGGACTATTAAAGGTCTTGATCACTTGATCATTTGATGCCCCATTATTCATCGATTTACTCGAGCGGGTATCAGTAACGTCTCCATTCATCCCTGTTGCTAAAGGTCTATAACAACTATATTATAGTTTAAATTATAAAAGTACAAGATTCACAGAACAATAAAAAAGGCACATATGCTATTGTGTGTGTGTGTATATATGCCTATGTAATACAAAGAGGAAAAAATAATTAAATTTTACTATTTGAAAAGTAACTATTTGAGAAACAGCCTTGTTCCTGACGCTCCATTCGCTCTCAACGGAACCACCATCTCCGAATGCAACAGTTATATATACCGAGGTCGAGAAATCAACATGATGAATGACCTGGCACCTGAGTTGCGCAGGAGGAAAAGAGCAGCTTGGAATGCCTTCAAGAGCATTGAAGAAATAACTAAAAGGACAAAGAACTCCAGCTACGAGCACATCTCTTTGATTCCACTATTCTTCCTGCATTAACATATGCCTCAGAGACCTGGACCCTACGAAAATAGGATGAGAACGCTATTTGGGTCTCTCAAAGAGGAATCGAAAGAACTATGCTTGGAATATCACGATTCACTCAAATGAGAGCTAGAATCTGGAGTTCTGATCTTCGTCAACACTCAAGAATCAGGGACGCTGTCTCATTTGCCAAGACATCAAAAATCAGATGGGCTGGACACGTAATGAGGTTTACAGACAACCGCTGGACTAGAGCCATTACTGATTGGATTCCACGAGACATCAAAAGATCACGTGGACGCCCACCTATAAGATGGTCAGACTTCTTCGTCAAGACCCTAAATGATCGGTTTGAGGCTCTACATGTTCCTAAAACGAACAGATACCATTGGGCTACGCTAGCACGCAACCGGGATGAATGGAGACGTTACTGGCACCCGCTCGAATAAATCGATGAATAACGGGGATTAAGTGATAAGTGATTTGAAAAGCGCTACTCTGGGGCCGGAGTGCTAGCACAGCAGATAAGGTGTTTGCCTTGCATGCGGCTGACCCGAGTTCAATTCCCAGCATCCCATACGGTCCCCTGAGCACCGCCAGGAGTGATTCCTGAGTGCAGAGCCAGGAGTAACCCCTGTGCATTGCTGGGTATGACCCAAAAAGCCAAAAAAAAAAAGAGAAAAGCACTACTCTGATTTTCATTTTATTCCATTAAATTAATTCATATTTTAATATGTTATTAGATTTCTTATATTTACATGAGTTATGTGGGTTCAACTTCACAAATAATGTGATAATTTACCTAACACTTCATGAATTTCTAGTTCTTCCTCTAATGCCTGAGTATCTGGAATTTCTGAAATTGATGGAGCAGGTGGGAGAAACCAATCAAATGATTTTTCATGGTCTGGATAGCTATGTAATACAAAAAATTAATGTATGTTAGTAATGCTGTAACATTAGGAAAATATACATTTGTTAATTAAATATTACTCAATTACATAGCTTTACACCCTATAAAATTTGTCACCACTTTTAATTTAGGCCATAAAACTTCTCAATCTTTTTTAGTTGTTATATAATTAATGATATAAATATGTGAGATACATAATCTAAATAAAAATAGTTAACTCTTAAAATGCTTATTACAATAACTTTAAACTTTTCCAATGTAAAAAATAGTATATATTCTCAAACTTTAGCACCTTTAACTATTACAACTACATAGTCTACAAATATAAAATAAACATATAATCAATAGCAATCCTCAAGCTGTTATTGACACTTTACAGGTATTCTATAGTACCCTATTTTATTACAAATAATATATTTACACAGATATTCTTTCAGAGCCACATACAAATTACATAAAATCTAAGAAACAAATTAAAACTAATAATCACTTTGTGGGCTGGAGCGATAGCACAGCGGTAGGGCGTTTGCCTTGCACGCAGCCAACATGGCCGACCCGAGTTCGATTCCTCCGCCTCTCTCGGAGAGCCCGGCAAGCTACCGAGAGTATCTTGCCTGCACGGCAGAGTCTGGCAAGCTCCCCGTGATGTATTCCATATGCCAAACACAGTAACAACAAAGTCTTCAATGGACACGTTACTGGGCCCGCTCGAGCAAATCGATGATCAACGGGAGGACCTTTACCTTTACCTAATCACTTTGTAAATCTATAGTGGCTGATGAGAATTTTGCTTTCCTGATTTACTCTTTAAGCTGCAATCCTACAAATCTGCATTGCTTAATTTTCCACCTCTCATAGAGCTAGCATATAACTAAGACTGCTATATTTCTATAATACATAATCATAAAATGTTCAACAAACTCACAATAAACATAAAGCAACTGAAATTTAGGATTATTTCTGAGGGTTCCCAGGGCTATTCCAAAGATCAGTGTATGATTCCTTATGATGATTCATGAGATTCAGCACTGTAGCACTGTCCTGCCAAACTGTTCATCAATTTGCTCGAGCAGGTACCAGTAACGTCACCATTGTGAGACTTGTTGTTACTGTTTTTGGCATATTGAATATGTCATGGGGAGCTTGCCAGGCTTTGCCATGCCGTGCCTGCAGGATTCTCTCGGTAGCTTGCCAGGCTCTCTGAGAGGGGTGAAGAAATCGAACCCAGGTTGACCGCGTGCAAGGCCTACCTGCTCTGCTATCGCTCCAGTCTACAAGATTCAGTATGTCATCCTAATCATGGCTATAGGTAATAACCATGAAGGAACTTCCAAATGTCCTCTCCCAATGGATGTAACTTATTCCACCCAACAAAGACCTGTATCCACTGGTGGAATGTTGCTAATGAGGTAAGATCATTAGAAATCCAAGACCTGGGACTTGGGGTTGAAGATGGGAAAGCTAATAATACACACATTCCATGTCAGCACACACCTACATTTCATATTCTCATACCAATTATGGTTCACTATAGTCCATATTATTTACATAAATAGTTTATACACAATCACTTGATCACTTGACATCCCGTTACTCATCGATTTGCTCGAGTGGGTGCCAGTAACGTCTCCATTCGTCCCTGTTGCGTGCTAGTGTAGCCCGATGGTGTCTGCTCGCCCCAGGAAAACAAAAAGTCTGAAATCTTTTGTTCAGGGTCTTGATGAAGAAGTCTGACAATCTCGTAGGTGGGTGGCCACGCGATCTTTTGACGTCCCATGGAATCCAGCTGGTAGCGGCTCTAGTCCAGAGGTCATCTCCAAATCTCATTACGTGTCCAGCCCATCTGATTTTTGATGCCTTGGCAAAAGAGACAGCATCCCTGATTCTTGATTGTCGACGGAGGTCAGAACTCTGGATTCTTTCTCTCACTTGAGTGAAACATGATACTCCAAGCATAGCTCTTTCGATTCTTCTTTGGGAGACCCGAATAGTGTTCTCACCCTGTTTTCATAGGGCCCAGGTCTCTGAGGAGTATGTTAATGCAGGAAGAACAGTGGAATTGAAGAGATGTGCCCAGAGCACATCCTCTTAGCTATTTCTTCATCCTCTTAGCTATTTCTTCGACGCTCTTGAAGGTGTTCCATGCCACTCTCTTCCTCCTGTGCAGCTCAGGTGCCAGGTCATTCATCATGTTGACTTCTCGACCTAGGTACACATAACTGTTGCATTCGGAGATGTTCGTTCCGTCAAGAGCAAATGGAACATCAGGAATGAGTCTGTTTCTCATAAACATTGTCTTGGTGAGATTCAGCTGCAGTCCAAATTTTCCACACTCACGGTTGAAGTCGGACAGCATTTGTGTTGTTTGGCTAATGTGTGGTGTTATCAGAATGATGTCATCAGCAAAGCAGAGATGGTATAGTTGCTGACCGTCTATCTTCACTCCCATTCCTTCCCATTCCAGTCGTTGCATGACGTTCTTGAGCGTGGCACTGAACAGTTTTGGTGAAATGGTATCACCCTGCCGAACCCCTAGACATGGATGATTACTTCCTTGTAGAATGGTGAAATCCTGGTGGTGAATCAGTAACACAGCTCACAGAGGTTTCTGATGTATTGAGTTTGAATGTCCTGTTTGGCTAGGGCTTCGATGACCGTTTAAATCTCAATAGAATCAAAGGCTTTCTTTAAATCAATGAACGTTAGAGTGGCATCTTGAACTCCCGAGAAACCTCAATGAGCTTGGTTACTGTATGGATATGGCTGATCGTGCTGAATCCTTATTGGAATCCGGCTTGCCCGCACAGTTGTCCTTCATCTAGTGTTCTGCCAATCCTATTCAGGATGACTCGAGTGAACAACTTGTAGACGATGAACAGCAGGCAGATCGGGTGATAATGCCAATGTCGTGGATGTCTCCCTTCTTGTACAGTAGAACAGTCCTACTGGTTTCCATTGGGACGGAACCTTGCATTCAGACAGGTAGTGTGTGAAGAGGCGAGCCAGTGTATTGATGAGTACTGACAGCAGGTTCTTCAGATGTTCGGGTCTGACCTTGTCTGGGCTGGGTGCTATTCGCTTTTTTACTGACAAAATGGCATGTTGGATTTCATAAGGGAGAACATTGGGAACGACATATTCATCCTGAGGAATTTGGTATGTGGGCAGGTGGACATGGCTATCAAAGAGATCCGAGTAGAAGTCACGGATAATCTTCTCCATTGCCCTTCTGGAAGATGTGATAGATTGATCAGTACATTGGAGGGCAGTCATATTGATCTTGTAGTTGGCGAAGGACAGGCAGGCATTGCGAATGCTTTTTTAAAAATACATAATCAGTCACTATTACTAGCTAATGGCAGAATGTTCCTAGATTCTATTTCAGACTCTATTCAACGCAAACACTTCTTTTCAGGTAACAATTTAGTCCTACTATATTCTCTATTTTCTGCAGAGGGACTATTCCAGAAAATCCAAGAAAGCATTAATAAGATACAAAAAGAAAATATTTAGTTTTACTATTCAGTCTATCCATAAAATGAAATTTTCTTTATGATTACCCCTCCCCCTGACCCCAGAGATGCCTCACTTTCCCAGTCTCCTGAAATCTAAACCACATTATAATCTTTTTATCCACTATATCCAGACACACATCACCTGTTACTGAATCTTCCCTATAATACACAATACTGTGTTTGTTTGGTGTTCTGGAGTTTGTTGTTCAGGGTACTGGTTGGGGTACACCCAGAGGTGCTCAGGGCTTACTACTGGCTCCATGTTCAGGGATCATTCCTGGAAGAGCTCAACTGACAATATGTAGTACCAGAGATCAAACCCAGGTTGACAAGTGCAATGCAAAAGTGAAATCCACTGAGTTATTTCTCCAAACCCCTATAATATTTTAAATTTACCCTTTCTTTTATATCTCCACTCATTCCTATTATATCTACTAATCAAGACTCTAATCAATTTATGTCTGATAATAACAATAATAATAATGTTTAAGAACAATAAAGCCTAAACAGATTTTACAATCTCCAGAATATTCCTCTACCATTAAATTTTATTTTATTAAAACACCATGATTTACAAAGTTATTCACAGTTGAGTTTTAGACATATGATGTTCCAGCATGGATCCCACCACCAGTGTTAACTTTCCTCCACCAGTGTTCCCAGGTTCTTTCCTCTCCCACCCCTTCAACCTGCAACCTGGCAGGCACCTTTTTAAGTTTGTTTGCTAACGTTTGGGTCCCATGATTTACATGTTGTTGATTCTGTGGTTTGGATATTTAGCTATACCCTTCCTTTATACCACCTGAATCCCCTTGGCTCCTGCCCCTCAATGCTTCCTGTCTCCCTCTACCATCACCCCCCACACTTGATTTTTTTTTTCATTTTGTCATTCTGCCTATTTTGAGGGCACACTCATCAGTGCTCAGGGCTTACTCCTAGCTCTGTGCTCAGGGATCACTTCTGGCAGAGCTCAACTGACCATATGGGGTTGAGCAGGAGTCAAATCTAGGTCGGCTACATGCAAGGTTAGCTTCCTACCCACTGTACTATTGCTCAGTCCCCCGGAATTCTTTTAATCCTATTACTCAGTTCAACAGTCTTTCAGTAACTTCTAGATAATGTCCAGGTGGCCTGAGACCATTTGAAAGTATTATCTCTTTTGCATACCTTCTTATAGCCCAGGCCAAAGTAAATTATTTTTAATACATTTAATCCCTCTTTATCTCAGTCCAAAAATATTTCCTTTAGTTTTTTAGCCCCTGTATCCACCCTAATACCATATGCACCTGTAGAAGTTCCCTTTCACTCATTCTTTAATCCATTCAACATTTTAGTCTTATGTGCCAGGCACACTAGAGGGGTCATTTAAAATCCACCTCAAATCCTAACTTCATAAAATCTCTCCAGGTTCATTAAGATTCTTATTTGAAACTTTTTTTTTTTAAATCACAATCACGTATATCCATGTGGAAGGGAGGCAGGAAGTAAGTTAGGAACTTGTGTGGCATATCCAGGTCACTGTTCATAATGACAATTTATTCCAAAGAAAGCACTCAGAAAGCCAGAGGTTAGAGACATAGATTCATTGTTTACTTACAGATGCAATTTATGGCAGCCAGCTAGTCAGGAGGATCCAAAGTCACACTGAAGAGAGATATTTATATGGCATAGATCACAGAGGCAAACAATTGTATGTAATATAGCCTTCAGAAAGAACAGGTAGAACTTGTATGTTGCCCCATGCATAAAACTGAAAACACCTCCAAGTAATAGCTATCTTTCATGTCTGGGAACATATTGGCCAGGATATATTCCAGGGAGGGCTAGAGCTATAGTACAGCGGGTAGGGCGTTTGCCTTGCACGCAGCCAATATGGCTGACCTGAGTTCTATTCCTCCGCCCCTCTCGGAGAGCCCAGCAAGCTATGGAGAGTATCTCACCCACACGGCAAAGCCTAACAAGCTACCCGTGGCATATCCAATATGACAAACACAGTTACAACAAGTCTCATGATGGAGACGTTACTGGGCCCGCTGGAGCAAATCAAAGAACAACAGGAGGGCAGTGATACAGTGACAGTGATATTCCAGGGGCAACTTTAGCTTACCCAAGAGGAAGTAAAGGGGGAAGGGGAGGGACAAGTTTCCTTTACTTCAATTGCCTGGAAGGAAGAGCCAAACAATATGCCCTCTACATTGTGAAAGGCAAAGGCCTTGTTTTTATTTCTATTTACATTGATAGTACTTGAAACTGGACTTTATTTCATTAAACATATAATGTAATAAATGTTTATTTGTTCAATTTCAAGGTTTTTAATTCATATATGTCCTGTTAAAGATCTACCACAATACCTAGCTTATCCTGAATGAATCCTCTATTTCCAGAAATTTTTCTATATTATATACTATTCATTGAAAGTACCCTGAATTGTCTTATGACTTTTTCCCCCACTAATACAATCTGCTTTCAAATGTTCACTTCCTCTCTGCTTATAAAATGGTCAAATCCTTCAAAACCTTCTACTATAAACTTGAGTTGATAAGTATGGCACAAGTCTCTCTTAACTGAAAATTCATTGCATGAATATATGCTTATTATTTGCTTTGAATTTTTATTAATAGGAAGGCAACCATATATTTTAGCTTTCCCAAACCAGTCCTGATTAATGCCTATTGTCCCAGTTAGCTGTAATATTTCACTCTCAAAACTGTCCCAATATGGATGATGAATTAATTCTATGGTCACATTATTTATTACCTTTCCATACATGCATTTAATTTCTGCAGAGAGATTTGGGTTTTTGTCTGTTTTATCATTTTTGCATCCCTTTCAGCAACCTCTCAGTGCTTTATTAAATAATTTTCTCATTACTTCATTAAAATAGAATAACAGAGACAAAAACATAGAGAATTTTAATTGAGAACAATTCATATGTGAAAATTCATAATTTAACAGATTGTATTTTTCATTTTTTTCTTTTTTTTATAATGGCTATACCCTTATAGCTAACAAGGACTATGAGGACAAGTAGTGTTGAAGACTGAACTCAGGATTATTCCCCACAGCCCCATGTTCCATTCTTATTACTTTTATGTTATTCTTTTTTTCTACCCTACTTCCTCCCTTCACTGAATTTTTCTGTCATACTTAGTCATTTTGTTTTGTTTGTTTGGGGGCCAATCCAGCAATGCTCAATGGTTATTTTTGGCTCTACACTCAGGAATTACTCCTGGGTGCTCAGGGGACCATATGGAATACTGGATATCAAACACAGGTCAGCCACAAGCAAGGCAAGCTCCCTAACTACTGTACTCTCTTCAGTCCCTCAATGATTTTTAAAAGATACCATCACTTCTTATTCTGAGCTACTCTTCAACTATTACTTCCATTTTTTTGTTTGTTGTCTTTTGTTTTGGAGTCACACCCAGTGCTGCTCAGGGTTTATTCCTCCTAGCAAAGCTAGGAAGACCATATGTGGTGCCAGGGGTGGAACCTGGGTGGGGCAATGAAATGCAATCACCCCTACTGCTCTCCAGCCTCAACTTCCAATTTTTAACCTTAGACAAAAGCATCTGAACAACAACAACAAAAATTTGAACAAACCAGAAATGGAAATAAATGAAACCCTAATAGACCAGAATCTGGTCATTTTTTTTTTTGTTTGTTTTTGTTTGGGGGACACACCCAAAACAGTGCTCAGAGCTTCTTCTTGCTCAGGAATCACCTCAGGCAGGTTCAGGGAATCAAATTTGGTGTTAGTAATCAACCTGAATTCACTACATGCAAGGCAAATACCCTACCCACTGTTTCACCACTTTGCCCAATCTACTTTTTAAATTAGAACATTTAGAATTTAAGCTTTACTTCTTACAATTTAATTCCATGATTACCAAATTATATCTGAAACCCCATTCTGCTGATCCTTTTTTATATGTATATTTTCCATAGAGAAAATTTAAACAACAAAAATATAGACCATGAAATACACCATGCTATTATTTTTTATGGCAGACTTACTTTTCAGTTTCATCTGGTTTCTCAGAAAACAAGTTATCCAAAGAAAAGAGGTTGGTATTTGACTTCAGCATTGTAAAAAACTGAATTTAGCCAAATCTACAAAATATAGAAAAATGTAGTTTATATTTTATTTAAAACCCAGCTATAAAACCCAGCTCCCGGAAGCGACATCTCATTATCTCGTTTTTACTTTGGAGAACCCGGCAGGCTACTGAAAGTATCCTGCCTGCATGGCAGAATCTGGCAAACTTTCTGTGTCATACTCAATATGCCAAATACCAGTAACAATGATAGGTCTCATTCTCCTAGCCCTGAAAGAGCATTGAATATGGCTCTTTTAAAATCTCAGGACTAGGAAGAAGGAGACGTTACTAGTGCCTGCTCAAGGCAATCGACGAACAACAAGATGATCATGATCGTGATTGTGGTATTTTATTTACAAAAGTGCAGAAAAATATTTCTAGTTTCATAAGCTATAATGATTAATTTCCCAGAATAACCACATCTTCTGTAACTTCCTTCAAAGTGCTTCAATATTCAAATACAAATCAAATATTCTTCTACTTATTATTCAATTCTTCACATGAATATTCACAATTGTCTATCTCTCTTCACACAAACCAATACTTAGAATGTGTTCTTTTCCATTCTCCACCTGGAAATTTTTCCTACTTATCTTTCAAGATATCTTGAAGAGTGTCAAATGTCATTTCTTCTAAAAAGTTTTCTCTGAATTTGTCCTCAATTCCGTGGTAGAATGAAGATTAACTTTGACCCTCCTAATATAAACTGGTGTCTTTTAATTTTTTTTAAATAATTTTAAGCTACAAATTTTACATTGAGATATTATATAAATGTAGAGGATTAAAGAGTTCATCACTGACTGAGAATATGATAACAGAACAAAGCTGAATAAAGCCATAAGTCTGACAGGGAAAGTAGAATAATTTCTAGACACACATTACTTCCTTTTAATTGATTGCAATTCCACCAGAAGCATGCACATCAACACTACATTCCAATTTTTAATTTTATTTTTCATAATTCCAATTTTTTAAGTATGAAATATAACATAAAATACAAATCACATTTTTATTCTACTGTAGTTAAAACACTGCAAATCTTTCCCTAATATCGGTAAGTAAAATAAAAGAAACTATATGAGCGCCATCTGCTGGACAAATTCACAATACTAAGATTGTGTGCGTATTTGCACACCCATGCATGTGTGCTTATGTGCATGTGTGTATACACAAATCCACATTATCAAGGTTGAATAGATTTTGTGTGTGTGTGTGTATGTACATGCATGAATGCCCAAGACCACACGTATATAGTCTCAACAAGAGGAAGGGCGGACAAGAGGGAATCCGAGAAAAAGAGAGAGGAGAGGAAAGGTTGTATGGATGGAGAGAGAAAGAGAGAGAGAGAGAGACAGAGACAGAGACAGAGACAGAGACAGAGACAGAGACAGAGACAGAGAGAAAAAAGAGAGTGGGAAAGAGAGAGGAGGAGGGGGAAGAAGGAAGAGAGAAGTGGTAGGGAGTAGGGAAAGAGGGGGTAGGGTAGTGATAGTGGGTAGAGGAGAGAGACTGGGGGTAGGGAGGTTCCCCTTGTAGTTAAGTGGGGCAGCAAAGGAGGGGAAGAGAATCTCTTGATAAATGCTTGTAAAAGGAACTGCATTTTAGGACTTTTCTTCTCCATAATGTTGTAAGGGTTCTCATTGTTTTAGTTAATGGTTCCCCACTCCTTTCCAACTGTTTAACAATTTAACACTTAATCACCAATAAAAAGAAACAGAGAAAATGAGGGGCCAGGAAATGTCTCCAAAAGGTTGGAACATAGGTTTTGTATGTGGGACACTCTTGGATTTAATCCATGACCCCATAAACATTGTTGGGGGTGGCTTCCCCTCCCCCCAATGAAATAAATTGGCATAGTTATATAACTACCCAAAAACCTGACTTGTCAATAATAAAAAGCCAGGATAATAGAATGTAAGCAGAAGAAAGTTCTTCCAAAATATTCTAAAAGAGTTTTAAAATCATAATATTCAAGTAAGCAATTTCAGAACTTGGAAACAATTACCTGATAAATTAAAATCTTAATCATGTTTCCATGTCATCCCAAAAATAACAAATAAAATCTTCCATTTATAATCTGGGGACAACTATATAATTAAAATACAACTTAAAACAGTTGTATTGGGAATAAAATTATTTTGTAATTAACTAAAAAACAAGATGACTGACAAACTATTTTTTTTTTGGCTTTACTATTTGAGCTATATTCTTGACCCTACAGTTTTATATTTTAATGTCTTTTTTTTAATTAATTAATTTATTTATTGAACCACTGTGGGAAAAGTTACAAAGCTTTCAGGTTTAGGTCTCAGTCATGCAAATATCAAACACATTTCCCTTTACCAATACTTATTTTTTACCACAAAGAACCCCACTAAAACCCCACCCTCCACCCCTCCCAATGCCTTTGAGGCAGATGAATTCTAGTTAACAGTCTATCTGCTTTGATTAGATTCACTGTTTCAATAAAAGATGCACCACTATTATTTAGAGTTTACCCCCCCAAAATCAGACATGCTGAAAAAGCATTGTGAAATGATTTGCTTTCTACAGCTGGGTTCAAGAATTAAATGTTGGTTTTAGATTTCCACTATTTTACTTATTAACCCTGGAAGTATTTCTACTGAAAGTCAGATAATTAAGAGATTGGTTTCTGTGCTCTGGAGTCGTGGCCGTGCCGGGGAGCCGCTTGACAAACTATTTTCAAAAGAACTTTTGATCTGTTATTTACTTTCTGGCATAAAAGAGACCATAATTTGTTTTGGCTCAAAATAAAAACACTATGTACGTATCTTAGTTCTGGTGAACCCCTATGAAAGAAAAACCATCTAAAATTCTTCATCCCTTACTCATCATCTTTCCCAATCACACAAATTTACATTTTGCACACTGATGGATGCCAATAACTCAGAACAGTGCCTGGCACATCGTAGAGAGTCCATAAGAATTCACTGTGAAATAAATGTATTAGCAATAAAAGATTATAAATATTATTTTATATCAACTCAGAAACTTAATTTTTTTTTTTGCTTTTTGGGTCACACCCAGCAATGCTCAGGAGTTAGTCCTGGCTCCACACTCAGGAATTATTCCTGGCGGTGCTTGGAGGATCATATGGGATGCTGGGGATCGAACCCAGGTCGGCTGCGTACAAGCAAACGCCCTACCGGCTGTTCTATTGCTCTGGCCCCAGAAACTTAAAATTTCTTAAGCCTCAATGCTCAATTTTAAAATATTATTTTTGTTTCTAGTTCAGGACTACGTAATAAGATTTAAAAGATCATGAATTTGGCAATATCAGACTATAAAAAAAAGGTATGGGTGCTTTTGTTTGCTTCAAATAGCTCTAGAAAGTACCTTGCTATAAGTTTATAATTTTAGGAGATGCTAGGTTTTTCATTAAAATGAGGTTTAGAGTCAGGTTTTCTCTGTAACCTTTCTGATATTCATTGTAGAATTTTCGTCTCAGCCTCTGGTATGAAATTAATATTGAAATACATATTTTTGTTTTCATAAGGGCCAAACCCAGCCAGGCCCATTAGATCTTATTTTTTTAAACATCTGCGTTTGCTCTAATTAAGCACTGTTAGAAAAAAATACCCAAACTGGGTTGGACAGGTGTGCGGAGCAACTGTGCAGCAGGTAGGGTCTTGCAAGGACCCAATATGGTTGGATCCCCAGCACCATACAGGGTCCGTTGAGCCCATCAGGAGTGATTTAGGAGCAGAGTGATTTAGGAGCAACCCCTGAGCATCCTCTGATACGGCAAAACAAACAAACAAAAAACCTCAAAATGGGAACCCGGAGAATCCAAAAGCCTTAGGGACTTGTGCGGGAGGCCCTAAGTGAGAAAGCCTTAAGTGCCTGTGTGAGAGTTCAGTAACCAAAAGCATGTGATCCCTCTAGACCTGGGTGCTCTGTGTGTGTGTGTGTGTGTGTGTGTGTGTGTGTGTGTGTGTGTGTAGAGTCCAAAAGCCTTAAGCGCCTTATGGTCCGTCTAGACCCGAGTTCTGTGTGTGTGTGTGTGTGTGTGTGTGTGTGTCTGTCTGTCTGTCTGTCTGTCTGTCTGTCTGTGTGTATCTCTCTTTCTTCACCCACGGTCCCTAGGCCCTACAGATGGGGATGCCCAAAGAAGGCGCCAGAGCGGCAATCACAGGTGACCAAATTGGGTGAAGGTGGGGGTGGCATGGGGAAGGGCACACTATCCGGGCCCCCGCCCACTCCCACGGCCTCTCCACCTTGGAACCCCATCGGTCTGGAAGGTTCCACGTGGAACCCGAAGCTGGTCAGGACGCCCTAAGGAAAGCCCCAGTTCCAGCCCAGCTGCCCGGACTCCCCCCAGCACGATGGCCGCGCGACGTCGGGGCCGCGTGAGGTTCTTTCACTCACCCCCTAAACGCCGAACCCCTGTCCCTGCTGCGAGAAAACTAGAGCGCGGCTTCCCCTACACAGGAGCCACCGGCTTCCTTCGAGGGGACGAACCCCCCTGAAGCCTGACAGACACGCAGAGGCTTCCCCAGTCCTCACAGCTCTGGGGAGGGGCTTCCCGGCGGTTGCCACCCGCTGGCCGCGCCTCAGCTCTCGCCTCCGGACCGGAAACGCCGTCGCAGCGCGCGTCTCCACGGCCCACAGCCTCGCCACTCACTCACCTTAGCAGCTACCAGCTGCCGCCTGCCAAGGAGCCCCCACCGCACTTCCTTCAAAGTCCAAGGTCTCCCAACTTCCCCAAGAGGGTAGCGGGGCCCCTGTACTCCCCTTCCCTACACAGCCATGCGACTCTTCAAGTCTTCGTGTGGCCCCGGTACGCACCTCCCCCACAGAGCGCGGTGACTCGTGCTTCTCACCTCCAGGAGGTCAGGAGGGAGCCGATGCCTATTGGCCCATTCGCCCGTCCCTCTAGGTCAGCCCCTCCCCCTTCTCCTCCCACCTCCTTTCTCCTCCCGCCTCCCAACACCCTCCCCACTCCCACAGAGTGGCTAAACCAACCT